ATCATGACTAAAACTTCTTGGTTAAGCCAATTGGGGAACAATTATATGGGGACTTTCTGACTTAAGTTCAGATGCAAGACTCTTGTTCTTCTTCCACTATGCAATGTTATACAGGGGCACAATGTTTACATGAGGGTACCTGATCCCAAACAGTACCTTTTGAAATTAAAAGTTATGTGGGTATCCTTGCCACACTAAAAAGTAATGACTATTTTTAAGAACTACTCTGAAACAATCTGTAAGACAGTACACACTGAGGCCTTGACCTCATTAATGAAAGTTCTCGTTTTCAAAGCTATACCCATGGAGATGTTCTCTGCATTAACTAGGATATGCATTCCACATGCTATTTTTCAGTGGCTGGAGAGTTGCATTAAGCCTTCCATAGGTTTTCTTCAGTCCCATTCTCAACTTTGTGTCATAAAAGCTAAATTCCTTAAACAGAAAAGTCAACTGCCTGTTCTAAGGATCTAGGATTGGACCAGGCTTCAAAAGTTTTGTTTACCCAGAAAATGAGAAGACTGGCTGGGGTATTGAGCTGATCTCTAGAATTTGATAATCTCATTCCAAACACTGTTTCACCTTCAAGTTTTCCACTCCCCTACCAATAATGCCTTTTGAGAGAGTAAACTCAGAGTCCCATTGACAGCTGGAAAGTTTCACTGATTTCAGATACTAGATGCAGCTCTGCAGAAAAGATCATTAGCTCAGAGCCCAATTAAATGTAAGACACTGTACGATCCCATTTTTATAAAACTCAAAAAAAATGCAAACTAATGTACAATGACAGAAAGCGGACCAGTGGCTACTTAGGCATGTGGGAGAGGAGGCATGAGGAAACTTTTGGGAGTGAATAGGTTCACTATTGTTGATTGCTAATGATTTCATGGGTGTATCCTCTGTCAAAGCTTAGCAATCGTACACCTTTAATATGTGCAGCTTTCTGTATGTCAATTATACTTCACTACAGGCATTCTTTTGCTTGCTTTTTTTTTTTTTTTTTTTTTAAAGACCAATACTCAGTAGGTTAGGAAACAATCAGTATACTTGGGAGGCCATTGTGGAAAGAATATACATTTCAGATTAACCCATTCTGGGTGACCCATTCTCTTTTCCACTGATCCTGTATGAAAAGATAAAATTTACCATGAAGAGTTTCGGGGTGAACTAGAATAGAAGATGCAGGATGAGCCACTCTCCTGAAATATGAAGGCACAGGGCACTGAAGACAGAGGCCTGCCTGTTAAACTCCATATCCAGACTATCAGATAACAACTGAAACTGTTTACTTAAGTGGTCTAGCTGTACCACTTCAGAACTATGAGGCAGAGAAAGGAAGTGAAAACAAACACTAATTAAATTTTAAAAATTTATTTTTCTTTTCTTTTTCTTTTTTGTTGCTGATTTGTTCTTGAGATGGCTACAACACCAGACAGAACAGTGTCCTCGTATGCAATGCCTGTGTGGGGCTTCAACTGCTTTACAGTATTACAACCTGCTTTAGGCTTCCTGCTCCTACCTCATCCCCATGAAGTCAAATAAGTTCCACATTTTTTAGTAAAATACAGTTCAGCCCTATAAACGCTTTTTTCCATATTCCCACCCTCTTGTTTTCTCATGTCTATGGGTGAAATATTAACTAAAAACAAACAAAAAACAAAACAAAACAAAGATAAACTAAAACTTAGAATACACACTTACAACCCACTCACCCCAATTTTGGCTCTTTTCTTCATGGCTGTGGATTGGAAGTGGAGTTAGTGAGTTGGGATAAACATGAATTTGGCCCTGGCAGGTCCTAGAATCACCAATGTGACCATGATATAAAATAGAAAAGGCTCTTTGCTTACTGCTCTCTGTCCTAACAACTCTATAAAGGTGGTAAGCAATGGTTGGGGAGGATGGAAAAAAATTTCTATTCACTTTCATTAAAAGAGAAGGGGAAATGAGAAAGAAGAAATGGGAGAGAGAAAAAGCAGACAAAACAATAAAAAACCTTAAGAGATGATCCTGACCCTTTCTTTCCAATTGCAGCTATATAATTCACTCAGATTCCCATTTTCCCCCAGTAACCATTTTTGTTTCACAGAAGGTTTATACCTTTATTTTTCTGTATATGCACATGCGTAGTAGCATGTGTGTAGGTACGTGTATGTACGTGTGAGTGTCATATGCTACCAGGAGGATGTTTCAGTTCTGGTTTCAGTTTAGTTTTCCTTTTTTATTTCCTTAAAAATTATTTTTCCTTTTAGAAACAAGTTCACCAGGAAACCAGCTCCCCTCCCACCTTGCAAGACAGGCTGCAGCCATCTTTTTAGAAACGGTGCTGACTTTCCCTCACATCCCCAAACAGGAACTCCTCAGAATGGCCTCAGAGGGCTGGAGTCTTTCCCTGTCTGGTGGAACGCCTGGTGGCGGTAAAGGCCCCTCTGCCACAATGGAGGTTTCTGATTGTGGGACACAGTCTGGTTTTTATTTTCTTCTTGTCTTCTAATTAAAAAAGACATTCCTACAAAAGAGAGAAGATAGTCAATACTTGTGGTCCAGGAGATAGCGAGCATTTTATAAACTCAAGGCAGAAGTTTCTATACTTACTCAGGTACCTCATTTTGGCCTGTCATAAGAAGTGTATCATTGGGCATGTGGAGGTATTATTGATATGAGAAAATGCTAAGTAACTGATTTACTATCTGAAAAGGGATTTACTATCGGGGAAAGGGAGAGAGGAAGAGACTGAACATAAACTGTGCACCTATGGATGAGGACAATGGGGGATGGGGAGGGGGCGGAGGGTGGGGTGGGAACCTGGCGGAGGGGGGAAGAAATGAGGAACCTTTGTAATAATATGAACAATAAAGATTGATTTAAAAAAAAAAAAAAAAAAAAAAGGAAGTTGAAGGGGAGGGGAGGGGGGTGAGGAGAGGGTAAAGGTGAGCCAGTAGGTCCAGGAAACCAACTCCAAAACAACCAGAAATCTCCACTTCAGTCTATTAAATATAATATTTCATGTAAAATTAATTAATTAGTTAATTAATTTTACTGATTTGAGGGATAGAAACATCAATAATGAGAGATTTTCAGTGATTGGCTGCCTCCTGCACACCCGCTACTGAGGATCGAGCTTACAACCCAGGCATATGCCCTGACTGGGAATCAAACCGTGACCTCCTAGTTTATGGGTTGATGCCAGGCTAAGAGTTTATTTTAAAAGGCTTTGTCTGATAAAATAAGTTTAAAAAACAATGATTTGGACTCCTTAGAAATATTACTGTAAAAGTATTAAGTAGAGTGGTTAAAAGTAAGGACTCTGGCACTCAAATGTCTTTATTTGAATTGTGGCCTTATCAATTACTGACTTGACATCTTGCAACTTCAATTTCCTTATTTATAAAATGGGAATAATAACAGTAACTAACCTAGGGAACTGTATGAGAATTATCTATACAGTTAATACATATAGCCCTAGCCGGTTTGGCTGAGTGGATAGAGTGCTGTCCCTTAGACGGCAGGGTTCTGGGTCGATTTTGGTCAAGGACACACACTTGGTTGGAGGCTTGATCTCTGGGCCCTGGTTGATGTGCATACGGGAAGCAACCAACTGATGTGCTTCTCTCACATTGATGTTTCTCTCTCTGTTACCTCTCCACCTCCCCTTCTACTCTATGAATTCAATGGAAAAATGTCTTGGGTGAGGATTAACAACAACAAAACAGAACAAAAAAACAATACATACAATGCACTTAGAATAGTACTATATACACAGTAAGGGCTCCATGAATGTTAGCTATGAACATTCACAGCTGTACAAGCAATGCATATCAATGCTAGCTTTTATAGATACTGCATAACCTAAGAATCACAAAATGATATCACTACTCCTTAAAGAACCAAAGCATAGAAATTATTTCTGGTGTGGTGAGGCACTGTAGAACGGCACCTTTACCTACTAATGCATTTAATCACAAGCCCTCAGCGACTGCTGCACATGCATGGAGGACCAACTCCTGGAAGAATAAATTCTACTTAAGATGTCAAAGAATGGGTTTAGAGGAGTTGCCTTTCTTCTCTCAGTCAAGAAACTGGCACCTACATCCCACTCGCCCATCGTTTCTTTCCTCGGCTCAACTTCTTGATTTGATTCAGTATCAAGAGACAGGAAGCCAGAGAGAAAACTGATGATCAGGAGCAAGACAGAGATAGCAGATCTCCTGTCTCAATCAAAACCTAGCATTTCAGTATTCAAATTGTAAAAGTGATAATAACAGGGAACTTTGCTCATTAAATCTGAAAGGTCAGGTTTAGGAGTAGTTCCATTTATCATGGTAAAGTTTAGGTCAGCAGTGTTTTCGTCAAAGTAGCCAGATTAAAAAAGACTGGTTTGTTAGCTATACACATTTACAATCCTAGAAGTGTCTGTGATGAGAAGAGGGGAGGAACATTTTTTTTTTATATTCTGCAACAATCACTTTCTTATTGGGGGTGAAATGGCATCCAAAGCAGCTGACAATTATCTAACTACCTTAGCCCAGGGAAATTAGGAGCCTGCATTTCCCAGCTGTCCAGAAGTGTTAAATTGTTAGGTCTTCCCTGACTCTAGCTAGTATTAGTCCACAGATGAGCAATAAAACCTATGTCCAACCCTGGCCAGTGTGAACCAGTTGGTTGAAGAGCCATTATGTACACCAAAGGGTCAAGGGTTTGATTTCTGGTCAGAGCACACACCCAGGTTGCAGTTTCAATCTCTAGTCAGGGTGTATGCAGGAGGCAGCTGATCAATGTTTTTTTCTCACATCGATGTCTGCCTGTCTCTCCCTTTCTTTCTCTCTAAAATCCATAAAAACATATCCTCAGGAGAGGATTCAAACAAACAAACAAACAAACAAACAAACAAACAAACAAACAAACCACCTATGTCCACCCCAAGCACTCCTGACAGCCAGAGAAAACCGGGGAACTATATTCCACTCACCTGGGTGACAGGCACAGTGCAGGAGTGTAAACTATCGAAACAACCTGGTGAAATCTCGCAAGGCCCAGCAAACTTGTTTACATTCCTCAGCACTAGAAAAAAAAAGGCAGGTTAGTCCCTAACTGATGACAAAAATATAATACTCTGAAAAGCTGCAACATTGACTCTGCTTTCAATCTTTCTGTAACTCAAGTGTAGATATTAACTATTGTAAATGAGAATAATTATAAGGAACGGGCTCTGGAGAAAAAGTGCCTCCGTTTGAGTCTTGGCTCCACTGTGTCCTTAGGCAAGTTACCAAACTGCCTCAGTTTCTTCATCTATTATCTGCCTCATAATGCTTTGAGAATTAAATCAGTTCATAATTACAAAGTGCTTAGGATAGTAGAGCAGTGAACAAAATAGTATTCAACAACTGTAGGCTGCCTACAACAACACTTGGTTAAAGCCCTTAACATAAAAACAAACAAACAAACAAATAAAAACCCAAAGGAATAAAAAGCAAGCATATTTATTTAAGGCCAGTTATCTCAATTCTACAAGCTGAGCTAACTCAAATTCCCTGGCTTCCTCATTCTCTCCCAAAGGCAGATTTTGTTTACAAAGCCCAGTCCAGCAACTAAGAGTCTATCAGTCATCGATTTTCTAGTTGAACAGGCTGCTCAGGGTTTTCATCTATGGGAGGAGAAAGCAGGCCCTCAGACAAGCACTGAGATGCTGAGGTGGTATGAATAGCCCAATATCACCGGATCCTGTATTTTCTTTTCTTTTTTGTTAACCCTCACCTGAGGATATTTTTCCCATTGATTTTTTTTTTTTTTTAAGAGAAAGAGAGAGAGAAAGAGAGAGAGAGAGTAGAAGGGAGGGGGAGAGACCAAGAGAAATATTGATATATGAGAGAGACACTGTCATCGTTGTGCCTGCAAATAAAGTACGTGTCCTTGAGTGTAATCAAACCCAGAACTCTTCAGTCTGGGGATTGATGCTCCATCCACTGAGCCAAACTGAATTTTTAAAAGGCCTCCTTTGTCCAAATGGTGGGAAAGGAAGTGCTTCCAATATGTTCACGCTTCCATAGCCCTCTTCTTGGTTTAGAAAAACTCAGAGAGGATTCAATGTGGAAAGAAAGCTCCTTCTCAGAATGGTCAAAGATCAGGGAGGAAACTGCTAACAGTGCTCCAAAGGAAAAGGAGAAATGAGAGCTATCTCCTCAAGTGCCCACATCTGGATTTTTTCACCTATTTTAAAGTCTGAAACATCATTCAGAACCTTGATTTAGACTAGAGGACTTGATTCAACAGAATATACTAGCAACTTTCTTTTAGTCTCTCTCCACCCTAAAAATGGAAATGAGGATGTTCTTCTGGTTTTATCATAATTTTGCCATTTGCTCTTTGTGCATTTAACATGCTTCAATAAGGGCATGGGCATAACATTTCTCATTCTATTTCCAAATCAATATTGATTTTGATTTTTAAGGAAGCAGCCAGGTGAATGAGTGTCCATATCACTCATGTTCCCAATGTCATGAAGGAGCTAGATACACAACCAAGAGAAGCCACTGTGGTGTGCTGTAAGGGACTAGGACAACAGGAAATAGTTAAACTGCTGGAGACTCAAGAATCTTGTTATCCTGATGTCTTACATGTTTTAAATTCTATCCTCCTTTAACCAGAAATCTTGGTTTAATCTGGAAGAAAAATGGTAACTCTATCCTTAGCTTCTTTAGTGATGCATAAGAAAAAGTAACCAAATTCAAGTCCAGGAGAAGTATGGTTAGACAGGGTGAAATGAGGGACAGGCCACAGTGTCTCAACTCAGCTCAGTTTCTACTCCCAATCCTGTCAGCAACTGCTTTGGCATTAAGAGCTTCAGCCAAATTTTTAACTTAAGTGTCCTTTGTGTTTAAGCTAAAAAAAAAAAGGGGGGGAAGGAGGGGGGGACTTGAAAACTTCCTAAAAGCTAGACTATTTTGTTTTTTTTTTTAGTTTAAAAATCTATCTATCTATCTATCTATCTATCTATCTATCTATCTATCTATCTCTATCTGCCCATCCATCCATTTGAAGCTGCCACTATTTTCTAGGTCTTATTTTCTGGCATCTAGTCCCATAATCCCAATTTGTCCACCATACTTTGATTAAGTGCCATCTGAAAAACAGGCTTGGACTTGCTGAAATGACACTGAACCAGTTCACCTTCCCAGCTAGGATGGCAAACAAAGCAGCATGTTGAGGCAGGAGTTCTAGGACTTAAACCAAAAGGGAGACTGAGTCATGCATGGAATAGAAGGTTCAAGGGCAACATGCATACTAAAGACAGGGAATTAGTGAGAGGAGGTGAGCAATCTCAAACCCTTTCTCTCCACCTGAACATTACCTCCTCTGATCATTTCCCACTATTATGTCACAGCCTACTATAAGAGAGCTGCAAAACTTGTTTAGCAATGAGAGATCAAGTAGGCCAGGCTGGTGGTGGACTTTTTTCCCATATCACAGGGCAAAGAGCACAGGTCTTTTTGCTCACAGTGTTGCATTATTTGGGCCCCCTTTCCTTGTCCCAGGATTTTAATTAAATTAGGGAAGGTCCATAACTTCATTTCAGACTTACTCTTAACTGTTATATGTTAGCCCAGATGAAGGAATATGGACTTTGTGGAGACTTATTCCAGAATGTGTGGGTGGTTGTCTTAGAGCTAGCAGAAAACATGCTTCAGCTAGTTTTGTAAATACATAATGACAATCTGGCAGATGATTTTCCATGGAGAAAGTTAACATTTACGGATTACCTATTATGTGCCAGATCTTATGATTTCCACTTGGTATCCCATTATAACTCTACTTTTGTTAATACATATTTTTATTGATTTCAGAGAGGAAGGGAGAGGGAGAAAGAGATATAAATATCAATGCTGAGTGAATCATTGACCAGCTGGCTAACCATCTACATACCCCCTCCTACTGGGGATCCAGCCTGCAACCTGGGCTTGTGCCCTTGATCAGAATTGAATCCAGGACCCTTCAGTTTGCAGGCTGATGCTCTATCTACCGAGCCAAACTGGCTAGGGCTACTAACCCTATTTCAAACTAACAGAAAAAGAAAAAAAAAAAAAGAAAAGAAAAAAAGAAACAACAACAAAGTAACAGGCAGTAAATGGTAAGATTCAAACCAACATCTGTGACTCTAAGCCCCAGGTTCCCAGTTGCTCTGATCCGAGTCAATATCATCCTGCCCTTCTATGACCAACTAGATGGAACAGAGCAAAACAAAAGTAGAGAAAAGCAAATAATTATACTTTTACCCATGAGACAGCTTGTAGGTAGAATACTACTTCTACTGGGAGAATTCATAATAAAAAGAAACAATTTTATAAGGTCATCCCAGTCAATACTAGTATAGGCCTCCTTAGTAGAGGGGAAGTCCCATTTTCTGGCAAACTGTGGCACGAAGGCAGGCAGTCACATGCTATTTCCAGTCATGCATGCCACTTGATCTATGGCCAAAAGTCAGTTCTTCTGGGGCATGAAGTTAAGCCACAGGTAAACTAGAAATAACGCTCAAGGTTTGGAATTTTAACTTTAACAAAATTATTGGAGATACCCTGGGAGATGAGAAAGTAAACCATTTTGAAAAATGACACTAAGACTTCCAATCAAGCCTGGCCAGAGTGGTACATTAACTTATGTACTGGGAGGTCATGGTTTGATTCCCTGTCAGAGCACATGCCCGGGTTGCAGGCTCAATCCCCTGTAGGAGGCATGTAGGAGGCAGCTGATGATTCTCTCTCATCACTGATGTTTCTGGGCAACCTGGGCTTGTGCCCTTGATCAGAATTGAACTGGATTCCACATTGAATCCTCTCTGAGTTTTTCTAAACCAAGAAGAGGGCTATGGAAGGGTAAACATACTGGAAGCACTTCCTTTCCACCATTTGGACAAAGGAGGCCTTTTAAAAATTCAGTTTGGCTCATGTAAAAAAAATAAATAAAAATTAAAAAAATAAAAGACTTCAGGTCAAGACAGCAGTGTAGGTAAATGTGGTACTCTAATCCTCCTACATTCACATCAAAATTACAACTCAACTACAGATAAACCATCATTCTGAATTAAAACCACACTGAGACTGGTAGGAGGGGTGAAAACTCAGAACTGGCTGGACCCACACCTATGTTTCTTTCACTATTATCAACACTCATTCTTGGATCTAGAAACTGCCCCACAACTGAATGAATATAAGCCACTGCCTAAAATTTAGTCAAAATTCTAGACTCTAGACACAAAAAAGAATATCCGGGCAAGGTAATACACAGTTATAACATCCAATTTAAGTTGCTGTCATTAATATTAACAAGGACCATAAAAGTTTCATAAACTTTGATTCAGTGATTTTAATGAAAATGGTCAAAAGAAGAAAAGGCTAGACATACCATATTATCTATAATACTGAAAACAACAACAAAAACAAGATCAAATGTCTACTAAGAGAGGTACTGTAAGGAAATCAAGCAATACCTGGTATAGATATAAAATAGTGATTAGAAAGACTATGTAGCTATATAAAATCCTATCCAATAAAGTGTAATATGCAAATTGACCACTACTCCAACACATAAGATGAGCACATCCAAGTGGACACAAGATGGCCAGCAGGGGAGGGCAGTTGTGGGCAATCAGGCCAGCAGGGAAGGGCAGTTGGGACAAGCCTGAAAGGGAGGGCTGTTGGGGGATCCAGGCCTGCAGGGGAGGGCAGATGGGGGGAACTAGGCCTGCAGGAGAGGGCAGTTAGGGATGACCAGGTTGGCAGGGAGGGCAATTAGGGGCAATTGGGCCAGCAGGGGAACAGTTAGGCATCAATCAGGCTGGCAGGGGAGTGGTTAAGGGTGATCAGACTGGGAGGCAGCAGTCCTGGATTGTGAGAGGGACATCCCTCAAAGGGTCCCAGATTAGAGAGGGTTCAGGCTGGACTGAGGGATACTCCCCCCTAACCCCATGCATGAATTTCATGCACCAGACCTCTAGTGTTTATTACGTTCATACTGTGTTTCCCCCAAAATACGACCTACTTACAGGTTTCCTTCTGAGTGAAATATAAAGTATCCCCCCAAAAATAAGCCCCCCCCCCCGCCAGGCTAAACATGAGAGATTTGGTCCACTGATTCTGAAAGAAATGGACACAAGAAATTCACCAGGAAATTCAGGAATTGGATTGTTATGATGATGTTCCAGAAGATGATGACATGATTGTCAATGAATAAATGAGTAAATTCTTGATTCTGTAGGATTCACAGTTTGTCTGGTTTGTGTTGACAACTACCGTACTACCGTACCGTATACAGGTAATAAATTTCCTTTATTTTCATTTAACAATAAATGTGTTCTGTATTCTTCTTCATGGAAAAATAAGACATCCCCTGAAAATAAGACCTAGCGCATCTTTGGGAGCAAAAATTAATATAAAACATGGTCTTATTTTTGGGGAAACAGGATAGTAAAAAAACCCACTTATGTATACCTAACATTTTAAGTAAGCTGTAAGCAAGTGGTTCATGGGCCTAATGCATTCCAGAGAAAATTTTGTTTTAGATACGGTGAAATTTTTCTAATTTATTGCATTCTACATCACTCTATTTTTTTTTGTTTTGTTTTTTAATATATTTTATTGATTTTTTTATAGAGAGGAAGAGAGAGAGATAGAGAGCTAGAAACGTCCATGAGAGGGAATCATCGACCAGCTGCCTCTTGCACACCCCCCTCACTGGGGATGTGCCCGCAACCAATGTACATGCCCTTGACCGTAATCGAACTTGGGACCTTTTTAGTTCACAGACCGACGCTCTACTGCTGAGCCAAACTGGTTTTGGCACATCACTCTATGTTTTACAATCAATGCTTCACCTATTCAGACACCTGCATTCTTGACCCCTGAATATGAATCAGAATTGAGAACTTAAAAAAGAAAAAAACAGTTCTCCTGCAGAATAGTGTGCTGCTCAGTGCATTTTTCTTTTGAAAGATATAATGCTTTCACTTACTTATTAAGTTCTTATAACAGTTAATATATGTACAGTAAAACTGACACACACATATACTACATGGTGGTATTTTCCCCAAGACTGGCTTCCCATGCCAATCTGCAATTCAAGACTATATGGACACTAAAAATAAAAAGGCACATAAAAAACATATTCTTTGGCAGATGTGTAACTAAAATGGTATAAGAAACAAAGATATATTTTTCTAAACACCTCAGCTGCAGTTCATACTCCTTTAAAAACACATACACCCAGCATCACTCACCTAGTGACTTGTTTGTGGAAATCTGTTAGTTGTTTGTGTGTCACTGTGACAGCTCCCACAGTTGTTTCCTTTGGCAAACCTTTCAAGGAATTCTCTAACCATCGACAAAAAGTCTGTACCAAGAAGAATAAGAGTTTTTAAAGGAGGCAGGGCTTACTCAACTGGGACTCTATATGTATTAACAAAAACCTGCATGTTTTCCTTAGTAGCATTATTGCCTTGGGACTTGAAAGCAAGTAAAAGAATTAACAAAAGCACTATTTTTAGGTCATCCAAACCTCTGGGGGTTGGAATCAGACACAAAGACATGCGTAGACTTCCCTTCACAGGGGTAGGAGACATCATTTAAGAAAGAGCCTTCTTCCTTGAGAGGAAAACCTCTTCTGGATGAGGCTATTGCTCTGTTCCTGTCATTAAACTTATACAGTATTTTAAAAATTAAATAGCTGCCAAAAAACTTTTGAGTATAAAGATCAAAGAAAGGGTAGGGACAAAAAATATACTAAGTAAACATGTCAAAATATAAATATAATACAAATTCATATATTTCAGGATTTTAAGGTCATCTCTCTCAGAAGTCATGTCAATAACGTCCTTTGTGATATCCGCCCTTCTTTGGGTTAGAAAGTTCTTTCCTTGTTCACTCTAGTTGCTATTTAGAAGAATTCATTTATACCTAAACAAGATATCTTTATACCTTGCATATGCACAAAAACTGCTTGTCCTCAGCCCCCTTGCTTACTTCCTCTTCAAACTAAAAATCCAAATTCTAGAGACTTCCTCGGGATTCTTATTTTCAGTCGAATTGTTCTTCTTTGAGTCAGTTCTAATTTTTTTTCATGTTTTTTTTTTTTTAATTTTAAAAAAAATATATTTTATTGATTTTGTACAGAGAGGAAGGGAAAGAGATAGAGAGTTAGAAACATCCATGAGGGAGAGTCATCAATCAGCTGCCTCTTGCACACCCCCTACTGGGGATATGCCCGCAACCAAGGTACATGCCCTTGACCGGAATCGAACCAGTCCCCAAGCCGACGCTCTATCCATTGAGCCAAACCGGTCCCAGCATCATGTTTTGTTTTTTTTTTGTTTTTTTTTTAAGTAGAATATATACTTTGGTTATAGTTTCCAGCTAATTTTTTATATTATATGTTTTCCCATTACGTTAATTTATAGTAACAGACCAGAGAAAAGTAAATTCTACACTACAAATGCTTAAAAAGCACTGCATGGCACACTCTCCCTCCTGGGAGCATGCTGTTCCTTTCCCCTCTCCCTCCCTCTTCTCCCCCACATGTATTACCTTTCCTTTTCCCTCTCCTAAGCTCCCAAGGGCCCTTTAGCCTCTATAACTTGTTTCCTGAGCCTATTTCTTCCATGACTCACTTTTATCTGTGAGATTTTCTAAATAAATTTTCTCTTATAGTTTGAATCTTGGCACTAAATTCTTTCTTAGCCAGAATCCAAGTACTAAAGTTGTTGAACTGAGGTCTGGTTTGACTCCACCAGTTTTTTGTTTTGTTTTTTAAATACATTTTATTGATTTTTTTACAGAGAGGAAAGGAGAGTTAGAAACATCGATCAGCTGCCTCCTGCACACCCCCCAATGGTAATGTGCCTGCAATCAAGGTACATGCCCTTGACTGGAATCGAACCTGGGACCTTTCAGTCCGCAGGCTGACGCTCTATCCACTGGGCCAAACCGGTTTCGGCACTCCACCAGTTTTTAACACCTTTTCATTGTAGCCAACAATATCATTATCAATGAGAATGTGATGAGGCCCTTAGCATCTGTACCATTGAACTAGATTATAGAGGAAACAATGCAGTAAACCCTCATGTATAGGAAATTCAAAACTACTTGCAGGAAGCTTGTAACCATACTCACACCAATCAGAATCAAGACTAAAAACAAAAAAGTTTAATAATCTTCCTTGGACCCTTGTTGGCCTCTGGACCCCTGCTGGTGTCCAGATGTCTGTGGTTGTTAATCACCTCTTGCCTCTCCCATTTACCCTTCACTTGACATAAATGAAGCCTGAATTCTGTACTTTCTTAAGATGGATTTGAGACACCCCTAAAACTTCCTATCTTCTTGGTTGGCACCTTCACCATCAATAAACCTTTCCTTATTCCAAAAAAATACTGCATAATTTTTCAAATGTTGCCCTCAAGGAAGACAACACTCTACTCAAGCAAAAAAAAAAAAGCCCTAACTGCCAATACCGGTTTGGCTCAGTGGATAGAGCGTCAGCCTGCGGACCGAAAGGTCCCGGGTTCGATTCCGGTCAAGGACATGTACCTTGGTTGTGGGCACATTCCCCAGTAGGGGGTGTGCAAGAGGCAGCTGATCGATGATTCTCTCTCATCGATGTTTCTAACTCTCTATCCCTCTCTCTTCCTCTCTGAAAAACTCAATAAAATATATTTAAAAAAGAAAAAAAAGAAAAAAGAAAGCCCTATCTGGTTTGGCTTAGTGGATACAGTGTCAGCCTGCAGACTGCAGGGTCCCAGGTTTGATTCCAATCAAGGACATGTCAGGGCTGTGGGCTTGATTCCCAGTAGGAGGCATGCAGGAGGCAGCAGATCAATGATTCTCTCTTATCATTGACTGGAGCACCAGTGTATCATTGACTTCGTGCATGGGTGAGGTCCCTTGGCCTGGCAGGTGATCGGGACCACAGGAAGGTGGCTGGCAATAGGGACCCATCAGGGCCGGCCGACCAGGGGAGGGACTGACGGAGGTTGGCCGGCCACAGGACGTTGGCTGTGGGAGCACTGACCACTGGGAACAGCTCCTGCATTGAGCCCACTAAGACAATATATACTAATCACTGAATTTTGGAGATGAACACACCAGACCAGCAGAACTTCTGGCTCAGTAGATATTAAAGTCTAACAGTAAAAGTGCAGTTTCTTTTGTGAAACTGCTGAAATTGAGGCTAAGAACTGCCATTGATAACATAAAGCAAAAAACAATGTTAACATATACATATACTTCAAAGTTATAAGTATCTGGATCTTTCTTTTCTGGTAGACAGCTCACTTTAACTAGGTCCAACGCTTTTATATTAAATATCAAAAATTATAAATCCTATTTAAAAAATAAATTACAGGACAAGATATACTTTGTCACTATGTTCAAAACTTTCATGCAGCACACATAACCTGATTTATGATCATGTGGTCTACTACTGAAATTTCTTGGGCATTACTGGATAGCCTAAAAAAATTTCCATGCTCAGGTGATAAAAAACTTGAAGAAAATAGGAAGCAAATAAATGCAATAAGGAAACAAATCAAGTATATATTGTGGACTAATTTTACAATATACCTATATGCCTCCAAATGCTCTGACAAGTTTTATTACCAGGGAACCATACATGCTTTCTAAGGAGAAGGAAGTTAATTAACACCTTTTAAATAACCTGTAACACTATACAAGGCATACATGGGCATTTCCTACAAATGAACACATTTCTCATTGATGGCCACAGAGCTGAATTCAATACTTACTATTCACTTATGGTAATTTATAAGCCATACAACAGTGACAAAATATGCTTTCAATAACCCAGTGATGAATCAATGGCCTCATGTGACCTCCTTTGTCTAACAATTAAACTTAGCAATATGTCTAAATTAGGTTCCATGAATGTTCAACAGGGCTGCTTTCAAAGGTATAGTTGAAAGCAATCTTAGGAACCAAAGTTTAGGCCAGGGAGAAATGGGCACCTTATGAAAATAATCTTACCGGTCTGTCAACCTGCATGATTTCCCAGAGCACTTCGGCCACATCTGGCAAGGTGTAGGGAGGGAGACAAAAGCAGCATGTGTGGAGCAGCTGGCTTACAAGTTGCTGTCCCAGCTGATTCATCACCTGTCCAATCAATTCTTTCCGTAATTCAAAGTCCTCTTCATGCTGTAAAAAAAACCCAATGGATAAGTTCTAATTTCAACTTTCCAAAGACCAAGTACTCTTTCACTTTTAAGCACAGCATTATCAATGGGTGAGCTGTAATAATTTTTTAAAACATGCAAAATCTAACTATTTAGTTAGGGGCCAGGCCTCTTTTTTTTTTTTTAATGTATTTTATTGATTTTGTACAGAGAGGAAGGAAGAGAGACAGAGAGTTAGAAACATCAATGAGAGAGAGTCATCGATCAGCTGCCCCTTGCACACCCCCCACTGGGGATATGCCCGCAACCAAGGTACATGCCCTGACCAGAATTGAACCCAGGACATTTCAGTCCCCAAGCCAATGCTCTATCCATTGAGCCAAATCGGTTTTAGCCCAGGCCTCTTTTTGTAAAAAAAAAAAAAAAAAAAAAAAAAAGACAACAGCCAATAGAATAGCAATCCAGTGTGAATCAATCAAAATCATGCCTTTTTTAAATTTCTCAGACTGGCAAATATATATATATATATATCTCTATCTATTGGTGTGCTGCAAAATTTTAGTAATTAGTTTGTGTGCCATGAGATGAAAAAGGTCAAAAATTGCTGATCTAGTAATTTCTCTTTCCCAGGAAAGAAAATATATATATTATATAGCAGGAGGATTCACAAAGCCCACCAAATGTTTCATCATGAAGAAAACATTGAGTTTAGTATCAAAGAAATGGACATGGGTTTCAGCTAAAATTAACCCTTAGATTTTCCATGAAAAGAATACAGAATACAATGGTTAAAGATTAAGGCTAGCAATTTTCTTAATTTTTTTTTTGTGTGAAAAATAACAAAGTATTCTGATTTCCTTTTTGAAAACCAACTGAGACGATCCAAAATGGTGGTGGAGTAAGTGGAAGCTAAACTGACACTCTCCCAGGACCAAATTGGAAATGCAACTAAAACACAGAAAACCCACACTGAAAATTCAACTAAAAACTAGCTGGAGAGACACCTGATAACCAAGAATGGAAAGTGGAGACCGCATAGGGATTGGTAGGAAATCGGGAGGACCAAAAGAGCTGGCCAGGATCCTACAGACAGAAGCTGAGTTCTGAGAAATATCTCAGTTGTGGGGGTTTCCCACTGAGAACTCTGGGGTCTAAACCCCAATCTAGGTCTAAAACAACAAAATTGATAAAGGTACCCACATAACAACTGTATATGAAAAGCAGTTGGGTTCTGTCTGACAGTGAAATAACTGGAATTGCAGGAACCCTCTTAAAGGGCCAACACACAAATTTTAGTATGCAACCACTCACCTTGGGCAGAGGAAGGGCAGATTAGAATGAATTGGTGTGAGCAGAAGCCAGGATTGGGGGCTTTGGAGTTGGAAATAGGAAGCAGCCCCCACTGGCTTCCGGTGCTGAGTCATTCCCTCTGCTGAGGAGGAAAGCATTCTCCTGTGGACCTTTACTATCAGGTAGTTTTTGCCTGGGGGGAAGGCAGTTGCCCCACCCTGCTGGAAGACCTCTTGCTCCCTCCAGTGTTTGAGAGCCTGAGCTAATCAAGTCTGAGTGTCAATAGGAATGCAGGCAGAGGCGGGTTTCTGGAGGCTTTGAGACTTTGATCTAATTCCAGACCTGGGGCTAGGAAAAGCAGGACCTGGTGCACATCTTGGTCCTTTCCAAAGGTACCCAGCCCCAGCAAGGGGAGCCACAAACTGTGGATTGCTGATAGCTCCAAACCAGATACTCAGGGCCAATCAGAAACAGCATCTGACATTGTCCTACCCTAGAGATTGAGAGTTGTAGTAGATCTACCTAATACACAGACACAAACCCATCAGGCAGTCAAACTGGGGAGACAAAAAAAATAAGCTCCAAATGAGAGAATAAGAGAGTTCTCCGGAAGAACTAAATGAAATGGAGATAAGACATTTATGAGACACAGAGTTCAGAATAATGATGGCAAAAATGCTCAAGACCATGAGAAAAGATACATGACATAGCACTAGTAAAGAACACACTGGAAGGAATATAAAGCAGATTAGGGGAAGCCAAGGATTGGATCAGTGAATTAGAAGACAGGGTAGAAAAAAAAAAAATCACTCAGAGGACCAAAAAGAAAAAAAAAAACCAGGACGGTTTAAGGGAGCTGTGGAACAATAAGAAATGTAACAATATTTGCATAATAGGAGTGCCAGAAGGGGAATAAAGTGAGGAAGGGATAGAGAATGTGTTTGAAAAAATAATAATAAAATAGTTCCTTAACCAGGTGAAGGGAAAAGTCACACAAGTTCAGGGGCCACAAAGAGTTTCAATCTCAAGCAAGAAGAACCCAAACAGGCCCAAGCCCAGACACATCATAATTAAAATGCCAAAAATTAAAGACAGAGAATCTTAATGGCAGATAGAGAAAAGCAAACTGTTACCTACAAAGGAACTCCCATAAGGCTGACATCTGATTTCTCATCAGAAACTCTATAGGCCAGAAGGAAATGGTATAAAGTACTCAAGGTAATGGAAATAAAGGATCTAAAATCAGATTACTATATCCAGCAAGACTATCATTCAAAATAGATAGTGAAATAAAGTTTCCCAGATTAAAAAAAAAAAAAAAAAAAAAAAAGGCTAAAGAAGTACATCACCACTAAGCCAGCATTATAAGACAGATACCCCTAAGGAAATGAGGAAGCAATATGAGAAGATAATGAGCTGCAAAGTAGAAAAGTTACAATGTTTATACTTACATCATTGGCTACCCCTGTGTGGATGAGGTCTCGTAGGAACCTCATGACACTACAGTTGGCATCCCGGTGGTCCAGGGTAGTAGAGGCAATGGCCCACTGTAAGATAGGGATGACCACCTGGCTCCTCAGCAAGGTAACAGGGCTACGCTGAATAAACCTGGTGTGGAAAGACATGCTGGTGTAAATGACAGGAAAAGGCTATAAAAGCAGCCAGGATAAAAGACAGAACTATGGAGAAAGTAAAAAGATCAGTGGTTGCTAGGGTTTGAAGAGGAGAAAGGTACAAATAGGTGGAGCACAGGGGATTGTTGGGGTAGTAAAACTATTCTGTACAAATACTATAATGATGGATGCATGTCATTATACATTTATCCAAAACCATAGAAGGTAAACCACCAAGAATAAAACCTAATGTTTTATAGACTATAGGTGATAATGTGTCAATGCTGGTTAATCAATTCTAACTCTGGTGAGGGATGCTGTTGATAGTGAGGGAGATGGTGGGGGTGGGGGAAGCAGAAAGTATATGGAAACGCTATTACTTTCCATTCAATTTTCCACAAGGTTTCTCAGATCTTTTAATGTAATGGAGAATCTCCAAGAAAAACAATATTTTTCCAAGTTATTTTCACTAGGTACAAAGAATGTCTCTAGGAATTAGTTTTTCAAGGAATATGTACTGGGGAAACAGGTTGACAACCCACCCATATAAACTGGAGGGGAAAAAACTCACACATTTTTCTAACTTGTCCAAAAACTAACATCTACATTTAATAATGGTTTATATTTTTATAAAAGATTTTATGTTCACTAACTGGTTTGATTAAAATTCCTTAGTGAGAGACTAAGAAGGAACTCAAAGATTTGACAATAACGTCAGTGTTACTGGTAAAAGGAATTTAAGCACTAGGTGAGGTGGCAGGTTAGGGGCAGAGCTGGGAAGTGTAACACCAGATAACTTCTAAGCACTTTAAAATCCTAAGTATTTTTTTCTGAAATATTATCTACTCAAGGAAAAATTTGAGGTGAAGGCTGATATTATAGCAGCATACAAAGTTAAAATCACAAGGGATTTTAGGGATTATCTTGTCCAATGTTTTTACCAAGCTCAATTTTACTGTCCTACATGTGTTTCCTCCTTCAAAATAGGAACTCAGTCACTTTCCCCTGCTCCCATCCAATTCCTTTTCTTCAGTTATGGGGATAATCTGGTTCAAAATTTAACTTTGGGTTATGAATGATTTATCTACCTACTTCACTTAAGTCAATTCATTAAAAAGGAAAGAGTCAAGTGTTAGGTGACAAGTCTAAGCAGTTTTTGGAATGAATAGTAAAAGCAGGGGTTGCTCTTTGGAAGAACTGACCTGGTGGCTAGCCTGAACAGGTCATCCACGGTGTCAGGGTGATTCTGGAGCCCATTTTGCTGTTCTAGGAGCTGAAAGGTGGGGATGCACAGTGCCTAAAACAGAAGTGATTTTAAAACAAATACTTGTATTTAAATGTCACAGCAGTCAGACTTGCTAAACATCACAACACACACAAAAGGAACAAAGCACAGACACACACAAAAAAAGGACTGACAAAAATAAGATTAAGAAAAGGATGATGGAAAGCTCTCTCAGTTGACTTAATTTTCATAAATGAAAGCCACATTTTAGGAAGGATTGATGGTGTAGATTTTAGTTGATGAAGGTGGATAGATATCATTTCAAAGCTTTAGAAGTTCTTGAGAATAAAGACTGTACTTATATGTATTAAACATGGTCAGTGTGCTAAAGGAGTAAATGAAGTTTTAATAGTAATAGATGAAATTTAAAAGGAAAATACATCTTGAGGAAAAGGAGTATCATAATTTAACTCCCTAATATATTCCCACCCATCCTCCACCCCCATAACTAGAGAGGGGAGAACGGGGGGGTTGGTGGGCTTAGTATATCAGAAACTTTTCCAACGTCTGCTATTTACCCTAAGACCATCCGTGCTGAGTAAACTTGTTCACTGGCTGTTTCAGGCAAGAATTTAAATTCAGTTGCCCACCTCCCCACTCCTCAAAAAATCCCTATCTCTGGATTACATAATTAGGCAGTAATGATCATTACATTTGTGTAATCAGTCTTTCTTTCTCCCAAGCAGGCCTGTCCAGAGAACTAGGACATTTCTATCTCCCTGTTATTAGGAAATCAACATGCCTGGGGTGGAAACATAAAGAAGCAACAGAATTAAAGACATGGTAAAGAACACACTGCTAGGCCTTTAGACCAAAGAACCAATACATCTATATTCCCCAAAGAAAACATACCTGAAGCATGTCTAGTAATCCCTGCCGACAGCCCTCTTCCATGCCATACTCATCCACAAGGATACTGCCAAGGTACAGGAAACAGGAATGCTGATGTACATGGTACACATTCACCATCTGCCAAGGGAAAAACCAATTAATTCAACCTCTTATTGAGGTTGATACTCCTCAATAAGTATCAACTTTGAAAGCTATTTGGAGGAAGACATTTACAAAGAGTCTAGTCTCTTTTCTTTCAGACAACATAGGAAAACATGTTGTATAATATTTCAAGCTGAAAGACATTAAAGAACTATTTTATCCAAGGCTTGTATAATGTTTGTAAAACCATAGCATAACATACTCAAATTTTCTAACATCTAATAGTTACTCCTATTTGCATTAAAAAAACTTTTTAAAAAGTAAATTAGTAGTTATATATACCAAACTAGAGGCCTGGTGCAAAAAATTCATACACTTGGGGGGTTAGGAGGTCCCCTTAGCCCAGCCTGCACCCTCTTGCAGTCCAGGAGCCCCCGGGGATGTCTGACTGAAAGCTCAGCACTGCTGCAGAGACAGAGAGGCTCCCACCATAAGCCCAGCTTCTGGCTGAGCGGTACCGCTCCCCTCTCCCTGTGGGAATGTGCTGACCACCAGGGGCAGCTCCTGCGTTGAGTGTCTGCTCCCTGGTGGTTAGAGCACATCACTGCAACTGGTCATTCCACAGTTCAGTCGATTTGCATATTAGCCTTTTAGTATATAGGATTATTATACTATGCCTTCATTTTGGAGGCTATGAAAGCATTATTTCAATTTTGAGTTGCTCCTAAACTTCTTTATTTCATCTTCTAAGTAAAAAAACAGTGTTTCCAATTAAGGTATCTGTCTCAAAAGAATCGAAATTTAATATAATACACACATTTAAATTAAATGATTTGTTTAGGATTTTTACCCTACTATTCTCCAAAAATCAAGAGGCACCTATCTATACATTCATCTATTTAAAATGCCATTACAACACCCATGCACTGAAGTTATATAAATTCAGTTCTATAAAAGTAGTGAGGGCTGAAGGATAGAGTAATTGACTCTTAACAGCATATACCATAGAATGAGCATGAGATGAGAACTATGAATCTATACTGTATACTCAAAAAATATATGCTCTACTTAATGAATAATGATTTAAGTCAGGGGTTGGCAAACTGTCTTAAAGGGCCAGATAATAAATAATTTAGGCTTTGCTAGTCATACAATCTTCTGACTATCATTTTGCCACTGTAGCACAAAAATAGCCAATAAATAATACTTAAATGAATAAGCATGGCACTCACTCAGTAAAACTTTATTTACAAACTACAGGACAATCAGCTCTAGTTTATTTACCTCTTTTTTTAATGGGACTTTTAAGAATAATTTTCATTTTTGCCACATGTACTGACTTTAGAACGCACTTCCTATGTAAGGTCCTGCCCCACATATTTAATTAACAGGAATAAAACAAAAAAACAAAAAACCAAAGTCACGAGATATCCTCCAAAATCAAGTTGTATTGGACTTAGAAAGTATGACACCAACTGGACCCCTAACCAGAGATGGACACAGCCTAAATGCAAACATATACTGCTGTAGTTAAGAGTATAGAAAACCACTAATCATTAAAATTCTATTAAAATATGTACCTGGAATAAGCTGGAGGAGAATCCAAGATGGCTGCACAGGTAAACACCTAGCAGCAGCCACACACAACAATTTCAATAAAATACAACTAAAATATAAAATGGACATTACCCAGAACTACAGGAGAGTCAACTGACTGGAAATTCTACAATGAGAAGCAAGGAGAAAACCAAAAGGAAGAGCGGAGGAGCTGGAAAAGCCTAAGGTACGAGACACGCGGCGCGCGCAAAGAGGACGGACACTGAGGGCCTGGCTGACATTCCCTAGCAGGAAGGAGATAAAAGCTCCAACTGTGCTGGGCATCAGTTCCGACTGCTCTGAACCCCAATTCTAGGCCAGACCCCGGGGACCCAGGCTCAAACAGAGGGAGCTGGGCTGTAAGGCGGAACCCCGGGGGGGAGGGGGGGAGGTGGCGAAAGGAGGTCCCGCAGGAGCGCACACTGCACGCAGAGAAGGGACGGTTGGCTGTGCCGTGGGATTGCCCTGGCGGGAAGGAGACAGGGGCTCCAGACTGCTCTGAACACCGCCTCCAACTCTACTTCCTACTGAACTGAACCCCAATACCGGGCTCATTGGGGGAGAGCCTAGACTGTTTGGTAGCAGGTGAAAATCGAGGGCATCTTTCTCTCAGAGGCACTTGCAATGAGTACGGAAGGACCCTGAGACCCAGGAGCCACATGGGGCGGGGCTGACGGAAGCCAAAGCTGTAGGCTCCACCCTGAAACCCAGCCCATCAGGGAAGCTGCGAAAATGCCGAGACGAAATAGATCACAAACAACAAAAGAAATGGAGGACAAAAAGCGACTGGATATAGAGTTCAAATCTATGCTTATAAGGTTTTTCAAGAATTTCCTAAAAAAGATGGATAAGACCTATGAGGATATGAAAAGGGATCAACTAGAATTAATTCGGAATCAACAAGAAATAATAAGGGATCAACAAGAAATAAAGAATACATTGTCTGAAATAAAAAATATTATACAGAGTCCTAAAAACAGAATGGAAGATCGCAAGAATCAAGTCAAAGATTTGGAACATAAAGAGCCAGAAGACACTCCTCCGCAGAAGCAAGAAGGCAAGAGAATCCAGAAAGTTAAAGATAATGTAAGAAACCTCTGGGACAATTTCAAGCGAACAAACATCAGAATTATGGGGGTCCCAGAAGATGAGAGAGAGCAAGATATCGAAAACATACTGAAAGAAATAGTGACAGAAAACTTCCCCCACCTGGTGAAAGAATTAGACTTACAAGTCCAGGAAGCGCACAGAACTCCAAATAAAAGGAATTCAAAGAGGACCACACCAAGACACATCATAATTAAAATTCCAAGATCAAAAGACAGAGACAATATTAAAAGCAGTAAGAGCAAAGCAGGTAGTTACCTATAAAAAAAGCACCTATACGATTGTCAGCTGATTTCTCAACAGAAACCGTGCAGGCCAGACGGGAATGGCAAGAAATATTCAAGGTGATGAATAGTAAGAACCTACAGCCAAAGATAATTTATCCAGCAAAGCTATCACTCAGAATAGAAGGTCAGATAAAGAGCTTCACTAATAAAAAAAAGCTAAAGGAGTTCATCACCACCAAACCAGAATTATATGAATTGCTGAAGGGGGTTCTTTCAGAAGAGAAAGTAAATAAAGATAAAAATTATGAACAACAAATACATAACTATCAACAAGTGAATCTAAAACCCAAGGAAATTAAAAAAAAAATCTGATGAACAATATTAACTGGTGAATATAATAGAATCAGAGGTATGGAAGGGGAGTGAACTGATGATTCTTGGGGAAAAGGGGAGAGGGGAATGTGGGAAGAGACTGAACATAAACTGTGCACCTATGGATGAGGACAATGAGGGGTGGGGAAAGGGCAGGGGGGGTGGGAACCTGGTGGAGGATAGCAATGGATGGGGGGGGGGGGAAGGAACATTTGTAATAATATGAATAAAAATTTATTTATTTAAATAAATAAATAAATAAATAAATAAATAAATAAATAAATAAATAAATAAAATATGTACCTGTACAAATTTTAATCAAATCTACAAATTTAAGTAGGGGAGATCATACAAATGTCAACTGACACTGCACTAGTATGACCCTAGTTGAGAGGGTGCTTCCTTAAGAATGAAGTACCAGAGTGCAGAATTTAAGGTAGCACTCACTGTCAGGGTCAGTTGCTGAGAGTGTGTGCCACCTTAAAATCTGCACTGTCTGTACCCTGTCCATGTGGAGAAGAGTCGCTTTAGGTTGGGTGGGTGGGTGTTGTCTAGCAGTTTTCCTCACAGTGCAAGAGCAAAATTTAAGAAGGCACTTGTTTAAGAGTCCTACACATGTAGGATTGGCACTGGCCTTGCCTCCCTCAATTTTGGGCACACAGCACCTCACTTGCCTCAGTCTAGTTCCGACCCTGCTATGAGGTTAACATCAACACAAATTACTTAGTGAACTAAGTCACTAGTCACAGATGTCTCATAGATTGTAGTTCTAGGTATAATCTTAGAGAACTTCATTAGTGAGTCATACGATCTTAGTAATACATCAATCTTGGTCATTAAAAGAGTCAAATTTATACCTTGACAAATAAGAAACTTATATGAACAATGTTCAATATAGTTAAAAATCCCTTTGGGCTAAAAAATAGCAAACTTTGACTTACCACATTTAAAAAAAAGGAAATTAATGATATACAAGAGCTGAACATTAAAGTCATTCTATTTTCCTAATATCACACTGGAATGTATTGCTAATTAGACTTCACTATACAGATAAGATTATAGACAACATACCTACCACAGGCACTACTTAACCTCTTTCAAAGAATTTTTTTTTTTTCATATTCAATTAATACAAGAGTGTTTCATCATCAGAGTTTCTGTTCCAAAGGCTCCTATTTCAAATTCTGTACAGGTTACATTTTCCCTCTTGTAGAGAACTTACCTGTGTGACTAGTGGCTGCAGCAGGGCTGCAGATCCTTTGCCTACACAGCGAACAGCAAAGCGAAGGCATCTGCAACAACGTTCTACAATCCGATTATCAGCCCGATGCTTATTTAAAGTCTCAGATAAAACTGGCCATATCTGAATCAAAAGTAAAAAAGCACAAGAAAGGAAGAGCTGAAAAAAAAAAAATGCTTTCAAGTTGGTAGCATTATATTTGGCTTTCAAATAATTTGGAAAAAGCTTTCATTGTAAGAAACACACATAGCCTGATTCTGACCAGTGTATATGTGTATGTACATGTGTGGAGATTTAATATACTATTCATCACTAAAACCCAACCGCTTCTAAGAGAAGCACAATGACTCTTCAGAACAGGAAGGGGAGCTTGTCTAACTTTATTAGAGGACAAAGATATGCATTTTCCTAAACTTTGAACTTCCTGATTTAGGGTGGGAAGAGTTACAGAAGAAGAAATATTTAAGGCAGTTCCAAGAAGTTGAAAGACCTTGAACAAAAGGAATAAAGGAAATAGCATTGATACCATTGAACACTTAAGAACATTTGGTGTGCCCTGTCCCATAGTCTGAAAAGCAAATACTTCTCCCATCAAGGCCCAACCCTGCTTAGCTTCCAAGATCAGATGAGATTAGACACATTCAGGGCGGCATGGCCATAGACTGAAAAGCACTTTTCAAACCTACCTTTTGAACCTTACATTACCTTCAGTGAAAGAAGCATAAGGGAAGTATGTTATCAATAGGGAAATTAAAGCAAAGAAGGCTTAATTAGCTTTGTCAAAGAAAATGTTGCTAGTATTAATCAGTCCTCCTAGCAACTCTAGGATTCACAGAATCTCTCCCACTTCTTTGGCCTTTCTTTCTTTCTTTCTTTTTTTTTTTTTTTTTTTAAATATATTTTATTGATATTTTACAGAGAGGAAGGGAGAGAGATGGAGAGCTAGAAATGTCGATGAGAGAGAAACATCAACCAGCTGCCTCTTGCACATCCCACACCGGGGATGTGCCCCCAACCAAGGTACATGCCCTTGACTGGAATCGAACCCGGGACTTTTCAGTCCATAGACCAACGCTCTACCACTGAGCCAAACTGGTTTCGGCTTCTTTGGCCTTTCAATAAATTTTCCCATAACCTGTTTTCTTTTTAAAAAAATCTAAAATCTACCCCTGACTGGGTTGGCTCAGTGGACAGCGTCAGCCTGTGGACTGAAAGGTCCCAGGTTCGATTCCAGTCAAGGGCATATACCTTAGTTGCAGGCACATCCCCAGTAGGAGGTGTGTAGGAGGCAGCTGATTGATGTTTCTCTCTCATCAATGCTACTACCTCTCTATCCCTCTCCCTTCCTCTCTATAGAAAATCAATAAAATATATTAAAATAAATAAATCTACACTAATAAAAGAGAAAAATGCTAATTGACCATACCTTCGCTACGCCCACAGCCAATCAGAGCGAGTATGCAAATTAACCCAACAAAGATGGTAGTTGATTTGCATATGCCAAGGGAGGGAGGAGTGAAGACTGAAGACAGCATAGAAGGAAGGGAAAGTGGAAAGCAAGGCGGATGCAGGAAGGAAAGTGCAGGTGGGGCGGGCAGCAGCAGCAGCAGTGGAAAAGTGCACGGCAGCAGTGGAAGGGGAAGCCTGCACGAAGCTCTGTTCTTGCAGGAATCTTCCTGCAACGGGCCCCTAGTAAATAAATAAAAATTAAAAAATCTAAAATCTAAATTATTTATTTGGATGGTTCCATTCCTCTTTTCATTGGTATTTAATTCATACCAGCAAATTAAATCTTTCTATGAACCTAAAAAAAGTACCTTCTCACTCTAGTTACCCACAGCATTGCAAGGAAAAAGGAAGAAAGTCTTGTACCACAGACATTTGTTAAAACTTACTTCTTGTATGACTTTTTGGCACGGATGAGTCTGTCCATTTTCCACAATGGGATTGGTGTGTCTGCAGAAAGAGAAATGGCCCAAATTAGTGAAAGAAGAACAATTTCACTGAGGACTAAGAGCCCTGTCCCTTTAGTTACTTAATATCATTTCACCAAATAACAAAAACAAAAAACAGATAGCAAACTTATTTTTAGGACTCAAAACCATTTCCTCCTATTGCATTCAAACAAACACAAGCAAATAATCTTAAATTATCCTATCATTAATTGCCACCTTTAAGTGACTTCCACTAGAACATGTAAACTCAATCTAACTCTGGGTACCTGGGCTGTGGGTGTGGGACACTAAATTATCTTTTTCATTTTTTTACCTTTTATAAACCTAAATATGTAATCTCTCCCAAATTAATAAAGAATATATACAGGTTGTCTGAATCCACAATGAGAAACCAAGCACTGCTCCTTTCCCAGCATTTGGTAGCAACTCTAGTCTACCAAAGATGTTTCTCATGGTTCTAGTCTGAACCCAGGAATACACACAACACACAGGCCCATCTAAAATATGTCAAATCCAACTATTTGTCTAGTTCTAGACTCTACTAATTTGAAGCAGAAAAAAGAAAAAAAAAGATTAAATACCAACCTCTTCAAAGGAAAAAAAAAAATTCTTTAATTTTTAATATGCAACAGCAATTTATTTAAAGTTTACTTTTCTTTAAATCCAGGTATTTCCATGTATTACAGATTTTCTTTCATTTACAGTGAAACTAGAAGCCTGGTGCACGAAATTCATACATGGGTGGGGTCCCTAGGTCTGGCCAGCGATCAGGGCCAATTGGGGCCTTCCAGCTGCCGCCTGGGGCCTTCCTTCCTGCCGGCTGCTGTCTGGGGCCTGCCGACAGGGGGAGGGACATGGGGAAGTTAGTCAGCTATAGGAGGTTGGCTGTGGGAGTGCACTGACCACCAGGGGGCAGCTCCTGTGTTGAGTGTTTGCCCCCTGGTAATTAGTGTGCATTATAACGACCAGTTGCTAAGGCTTTTATACATATAGACTAGAGGCCCAGTGCATGAAAAAGAGTGTGTCCCTCAGCCCAGCCTGCACCTCTCCAACCTGGGATCCCTCTCACAATCCAGGACTGCTGGCTCCCAACTGCTCGCCTGCCTGCCTTTCTGATTGCTCCTAACCACTTCTGCCCACAAGCCTGATTATCCCCTAACACTCCCCTTCTAGCCTGTTTGCCACTAACTGCCCTCCCCTGCAGGCCTGGTCACCCCTAACTGCCCTCCCCTGCAGGTCTAGTCCCCCTCAACTGCTCTCCCCTTCAGGCCTAGGTCTCCCTCCCCCCAACTGCCCTTCCCTGCAGACCTGGTTGCCCCCAACTTCCTTCCTCTGCCAGCCTGGTTGCCCCTAATCTCTCCCTTACAGGCTGGATCGCCCCCTACTGCCCTCTCTTGCAGGCCTGGTCCCTCCCAACTGCCCTCCTCTGCTGGCCATCTTGTGTCCACATGGAGACAACCATCTTTGACCACATGGGGGCAGCCATCTTGTGTGTTGGATTGATGGTCAATTTGCATATTACTCTTTTATTAGATAGGATAAGGGTTATTGTTAATAGGCTCTAAGAAGGGGATGTCATTATACAAGGAAAGCATTGCACCAATTCAGATAGAGATACCTGTTGATAAAAAGTAATAATCTAAAACAATGCCTATTTTAACTTATTCCACATAGGCTTTTTTGCTATTATTACTCCACTATTCCAGTTATACCTATAGGCTTCACATATTATAAATTATGTAACTCAGTATCACTCTTTGAACATTGTCACTCAAATATTTTTTTAATCATTAGGCTCCTCTTAACTTTAAAGAAGGATTAATTTCACCAGGTTAATGAAGAGCCTTTATTACTGTTTTGTATCCATACATTTCACAATATGTCTAAAAGTGTGTGTGGTCCTTGGAATAGCAAGCAGCAGCACCTGGAAATTTATGAAATACTAGAGGTCTGGTGCACAACATTCGTGCACTTGGAGGGCGCGGGTGGAGTCCCTCAGCCTGTGCCCATTCGCAGTCCTGGAGCCCTCAGGGAATGTCCTACTGTGGGCTTAGGGAGTGGGCCTAACCTGCAGTTGGACAGCCTTAGCCGCGGACGCCCGCTGTGCTCGCCAGCTGTGAGCCCAGGTTCTGCCTGAATGGCTCTCTCCCCCTGGGAGCATACTATCCACCAGAGGGCAGCTCCTGCATTGAGCATCTGCCCCCTGATGGTCAGTGGGCATCATAGTGACATAGTGGGCAGCCAGTCGTTCTGCCATTGGGTCAATTTGCATATTACCTTTTTATTATATAGAATTATTATATATTATGTAAATTATTAGGTTCTATCAAAAATCCAATCAATCGGGCAATCTGGGATGGAACCAGCAATTTATGTTTTTAAAAATGTATATATTTTATTGATTTTTTACAGAGAGGAAGGGAGAGGGGCAGAGAGTTAGAACATCGATGAGAGAGAAACATCGATCAGCTGCCTCCTGCACAACCCCTACTGGGAATGTGCCTGCAACCAAGGTAGATGCCTCTGATCAGAATCAAACCTGGACCCCTGAGTCTGCAGGCCAGCTCTCCATCCACTGAGCCAAACAAGTTAGGGCAGCAATCTATGTTTTGATAAATCATATAGGTGATTCTGAAGCACCTTAAAGTTTGAAAATCAATGATCTAGAGACCAGAAGAATTTATTACATTTTAAAGGTTTTTTTTGACAGCCCTTCCCTCCCTGGGCCATGTCACATGACCCATGGACCCAGAGTGAACAGACTGGGGAAGGTCAGGTGGGAAGGGCACTCTGTGAGACTCCCGAAGGAACATGCGACCATGTCTTCCCTGCCTGGGACTCAGGAACCCTATCCCGTGGAAAAAATCCACGGAGGTTCCCAGTTTCTCCCAGACCATTGCCCACAGTGGCCTTTCAGGTAGACTCTCAAGTGGGACCCCACCAACCCTGAGACCGATGACCTCAGCACTCTGTGCATCACCATGGGATCTGCCATCACCCAAGGTCACTGCAATTTGGAAGCCTCGGTCCTCACTGCCCTGCTCTACAAGCACTGACATCACCAGCTCCTGGGTGCTCAGCGTACGTTTCAAGAATTTTGCATATAACTGATTTGGGTGCACTTACCTTAGTGGCTCAGAAGGAAATGAAGTTCTTTTCCTCTGTGAGGTCTTTGATTCCTTAGGGATAATGAAACTATAGCTAAGGTAGTAGCTACCTAATTTACATAGTGCTTTTCACCTTTCATATCGTATTTCTCCGATGTAAAATTATCCCTGATATAGTGAGTGGGAATGCAGGATAGATACAAGTTTTATTGGCATTTTCAAAAAATTCACCAAAATGATGAAGGTAGATATTCTTTAAGTGTGATTTTTATGAATTTATCCTTTGTAGATACTCTTGTACATGTACAATGATGTGTGTGAGGTTGTTTGGAGATTAGGTAGAAACAACCTTGATGTCCATCAGTAGGGGATTGGTTCACTAAAATACATCAATCCCTACAATTTTTAAAAAGATTCTTCTGACAAAGGTCTACCAAGAACAAGTTCTTAGAATTTGCCTTTGCCCAAGACTTCAGACAATGATTTTTTTTTCTTTCTTTCTTTTTTTTTTTTTTGAGGCAATGATCTTAATTAAGTATTCTGACAAAGGTGATTATAGGAGGAAAAAAAAAAAACCCACTTGCATACTTCAGTACACAAGGGTCTCATTTGTGCTTTTAACCCAAGACAGAGATCTAGAATCTCTCTTCTTACCTAAATATTACTGCAAGACGATCTAAGAACACAGTGGGATCTGAGGATATACCATTGCTGGGCTCCTGAGACAACAGCTGAAGAGACAGACATTAACACCCAGTCATTACACATACAAATACTGCAACATACACCCTTACACATCAACCTCTGTCTCAATCTCTGTTTATTTCTGTAAAGTTACTCAAATAGTGCAAACTTTTAATTCATATTGTCAAATTACTTTCTTCCATCTCACTGCATACTGGCCAAGACTATATATTACTAACATTTTAATAGTAATCATTGTGGAGTAGAAAACATAATTTAATTTTTTCCATTTATTTGTATTATGATTGAGACATTATAGAAATTATATATTAAAAGATAGTTTATATATAAGATTACTATGTGTTATGTAACCTATGTTATATTCACATTCCACTTTATAATAGCTTTATATTTTAAGAGATAAGGCAAGTTGCCCTTTATTTTTCTTTCTTAAAATTTCCACCATTATATCAGTAGAAGTGAACTTTAGAATCATTTTGTCATATTTTCCTAAAAATCCTATCAGTATGTTCACTGTTATTGCACTATACTAGTACAAGTAATTTGAGAAGAACTGCCATCTTTACATATTATTCGAGGAAACATGGTAGGTTATGGTTTTGGTTGCTAACCTGAATGATATTTTTAAAGTTACATCTTCTAAACGGTATTACTGACATTAGTAAAAACTATTGATTTTTAAATACTTCTGTGCATTCAGCTACTTCAAGAGACATATTAATTTTAAAAACTTTTCTGTTCATTAAAAAAGAGAAAGAAAAAGAAAACTTTTCAATTCATTCTTTTGGCTTTTATAAAAGATACAAGTAAATGAATAATTTTGACTTTTCCTTTTTAACATGTAAATATCTTAATTTGTTTCACGTCCCCTTACTTAATCAAACTCACCTTTTTCAATGACATAACCTGAACAGAACATAGCTCACTAAGACATTGAGTAATCTTCTCCAGCGGTAGTCTGGCTAGCACAAGTGCTGTCCCTGAGAGACAAAGGAAGATACAGATGAAGAAAGTAAAAGTTGAATTGAGGTTATTCTTTGGTCTACAGCATGTGGTAAACAGAAAAGCCTGACAGGACCCATTCTTTCAAAAAGATCGGCACTAAGCTGCGTTGGTGGTATAGTGGCGAGCATAGCTGCTTTCCAAAAAGATCAGCACTGTTTTTTATAATTGCAATAGTTGATTATTGATGGTCAGTTTTTTTTTTTTTAAATAGAAGCCTATTGGTTTAAAGATGTTTAAATTTATCTCTCCTTCCAATTCCTTCAAGACTAAAAATCTCCTCTACAAAGCCAATACCAAAGCTTTTTTTAAAAAAATACATTTTTATTGATATCAGAGAGAGGAAGAGGGAAAGAGAGGAAGATCAATGATGAGAGAAAATCATTGATCAGTTGCCTCCTGCATTCCCCTTACTGGGGATTGAGTCAGCTACTCAGGCATGTGCCCTAACCAGTAATCGAACTCTGACCTCCTGGTTCATGGGTCAACACTCAACCACTGAGTGTTGGATCCAAAGCTATTTTTATGTAGAAAAGTACAATAGCTCTTAAACTTCCCTGAGACCCTGACTTAGTAGGTCATAGAGAACCTTTATTTTTGATAAGTACCATGGGCAATTTTTATCATCAGAGAAATTGGAGAAATATAAACAATATATATTTTTTTACAAGAATGGGCTGAAATTAGAGATTTAATTCTTTTCTACCATAACAGAATCTATGAAAGGGGTTAAAGTATTCTTGCTGGGCATCAATTTCTTTCTTTTTTCTTTTTAATAATATATATTTTATTCTTTTTTTTTTTTTTTTTTTTTTTTTTTTTTTTTTTACAGAGAGGAAGAGAGAGGGATAGAGAGTTAGAAACATCGATGAGAGAGAATCATCGATCAGCTGCCTCTTGCAAATCCCCTACTGGGGATGTGCCCGCAACCAAGGTACATGCTCTTGACCGGAATTGAACCCGGGACCTTTCAGTTCGCAGGCCGACGCTCTATCCAATGAGCCAAACTGGTTTCAGCTGGCATCAATTTCTTTATCTATAAAATGAGTGCTTTGAACAGGAAAGTAGTAGTAAGCCTGCATTTTTCGTTGTTTTTAAATAGTTGCAAAAGCCCCTTTCCTTACATTTCCCCCAAATGAAATCTTAACTTGGAGCTCTAATAAGACAGATTGGGGGGGGAGGGGGGGTTGGAAAGGAGGTAGTTAGGTTACAGTGGAAACTCGGCCTCCCTCTTTTCACAATCCCCATCAGCTGCGGAAGCACCTCCCCCGCCCCCGCCCCCCAACTCAAAGGCTGATGTGTAAAACGATATCCCTTCTAGGCCCCAAATTCCTTGACTATCTCTAAAATTTCATTTAAAAAAACAGAAATCAATCCATAAATCTTCAGATGTGAATAAAAAACGGAATGATTCTTCCTGATAGCCTATTAGCCATGGATGTATAGACTTTTGTTTACAATTAGATTTTAAGTGAAAATCTAACTTAAATATAATTGTTTCTTTTAATTCATTCTTACAGAACTAAACAGTTTGTAACTAAAAACAGTTGTTTATGTCTAGACAAGAATACCTGAAAAGTGGGATGCCACATTCTATTACAGGTCATATGTCACTTCAGCATAAAGGTTAAATCTCTCTAGAAAATGACAAGATGGCATCAATAACCACAATAGTAGTTATGAAGAATATCTGACTCTAACTTAATATCTTATTACCTATGCATTCAAAGGGAAACAACAAAAACCCATGCTACAAAATCTATCTTTAAAACAACGCAGGTATACTGGCTAGTAAGGAACCTAGTCATAAAGGTGACAAAGGACAGAGCTAGCTCACACATGAGGTCATCCAGTATTGCCCAGGCTGTTTGCCACTCACATTGGCTTAAAAATGCTCACAGTTCCTATTATCAATTTTGTATTTGATATATTCCCATATGTTCTCAACCACCAGTTGTAAGGATTTCACTACCTCACAGTCATTTGTTTTCAGAAAGTTTAGCTAGAAAGCATTTTCTAAGAGTCAATAAACTGTCAACAGTTGACCACTCATAGTATAAATATTCTTGCTTTCATGCTAAATATTTAAAAATAGGCATCATGTTTAAAGTCTCTTCTAAGTCTTTTTTTCCCCTAGCCATAATATCTCGATAACCCTCAGAAGTGGCTTAAAAGAGACTGTTCCTGGTTAACATCATACGCAAATACCTTTCAACAAGCCCACAGCAGCTTCTGGAGACAACATGAAGGAATCGAGGGAACGGGCAATCTCCAGAAGTCCATTAAAGTGCTGAGCCATGTGGTCTCGGCAGACAGAACAAATGTTATGAATGGCTTTGGCTGCAGCAGAAGCCAGCGGCTTTTCACACAGGCCTTTCATCAAATAGCCCAATACAGGGTCTAAGGAAAAAAACCATAAGGTAAAGATTATATATTTGAAACTTAAGGAAAACTTCTTGTTTACTATAATAGATGTTTACATTCTCTTTCTTTTTAAACAAAAGAACCATTTTAAAAAATGAAATGTGTTCAAACCCCAATATATAAAACATAAAAATGGAGAGCCCTGAGTCTTAGTCATCTTCCCATCTCTTTCCTCATGGACAATCAAATGCTGCTTGTTGCTAGTGCTTCACAGAGCAGTTTGAAAACCACTGGTGGATATGACCATCCAAGTATTTATATATACACTGAGTGGACATATTATTATGATCTCTGAACGCATAATAATCTGGCCACACAGCATATATAAATATATACATATTAGAGGCCCAGTGCATAAATTCATGTATGGATGGGGTCCGGCCAGCCTGGCCAGGAGGAGGGAACATGGGCGGTTGGCGGGCCTGCCTGCTGGTCAAACTCCTGGTTGGGGAACAATTTGCACATTAGCCTTTTATTATATAGGATATACACTGAGAGGCCAGATTATTATATATTCAGAGATCAAAATAATCTGGCCACTCAGTGTATAAAAGCCTAAGCAACCAGCCAACTGGTGGACTGGTAGCTATGATGTGCACTGATCACCAGAGGGCAAACGCTCAATGCAGGAGTGGAAACCACAGGCATGGAAACATGGAACAGACTGATGAATCTCAGGGGAGGGGAGGAGGGAGGGAAGATCTTATATGCATACTAGAGGTCCAGTACAGGGATTTGTGCACTAGTGGGGTCCCCTGACCTGGCCTGTGCCCTCTCACAATCCGGGACCTCTTGAGGGATGTCAGAGAGCCAGTTTCAGCCCGATCCCCGCAGGCCAGGTTGAGGGACCCCATTGGTGCACGAATCATGCACTGGGCCTTTAGTTAAGACTATAAGAAGAATGTAAAGCTCAGAGAGCTACCAATATACTCACAGGTGAGTCACTCTGTAAAAATAGCTGACATTAATAAGAACAATGATAGTAATCTAAAACTGACACTTTTATACTTGCTCCTTTATAGTTACAAAGGGCCTTAAAACATGCAGATGGATCTTTAGTATTTCTGGAAGAATTAATTCATCATATTCTACTTTTTACAAAATATAAGTGTTCAAAAAAAAAAAAAAAAAAAAGGGATTTAAAGGTGAATTTCTATAAAGCAAGTCAACTAAGCAAAACTCATATTTACTTTCAGTGCCTAGAAACATTCTACCTAGCAATATGCAAGAAAACAAGAGCAAACATAAGAGAAAGAAAGAAAATCAGAAAAATCAGACATAGCAGTGGCTGAGGGCAGAGTTCACACATACCAAGGAAATGAGGATTTCGATCAACCACTTCGCTCATCTCTCCAACCAATTCAATGCTGGTGTATCGCACAGCTGTATGGACAGTCTCTGGGAGACGGACAACTCCTTCTAGGACCTCTACAAGCGTTGGATTGTTCTCCCTGAGTACAGAAGGCAAGCACTCAGAGTTACTGATTTCAGAGATCAGGTTTTGGCTAAGAAACAGGCTGCAATGATACAAATCATTGCTGAAGGGCTTCTTTCTAAATAATTTATCATTTGGATAAAAGTACTTAACACTTGATATGAAAGGTTTTTAAATCCTAAGAAATGGGGGGGGGGGGGGGGGAAGAAATGGAAGATATAACTGTTTCAGAAGAAGCATACTGCTCCTTAATCTTTAGAATGTCAGCGTCTAAAGATACATTCTGCTACCAAAAAAGGCTCTTCAAACGGGAGAGGCAGGCATTTACTATGGTTGCATGTCGTCATTTAAAGAATCTTTTTTATTTATTCCTATATCTGCAGCACCTAGAACAGTGCCTGGCACATAGTGGGCACTCAACAAATATTGCTGAATGGCTAAGTAAATGAATATTTCTTACAGACCACTTTTTATTAGTTGTTATTCTCCAAAAGATTTCTTACAGCTGGATACTAAAAACTTTAAGAACACTTAAGCATGAGTGAGCCAGTTAACTAACTAAAGGAACAAGAAGAATACAGGTTGAAGAAAGAAAATTAAAGGCCAAAATCCGTGATGAATATAAATGCTAAAACTCTCAACAAAATATTAGCAAATCGGTTCCAGCAATATTTTAAAAAGATCATACACCATGACCAAGTGGGATTTTTTTCCAGGGATGCAAGGATGGTACAATATTCACAAATCAATAAACATGATATATCACATAAACAAACAAAAAGAATACAAGTTGCAGGAACAGGTAAAGGAAAATTAAAGTTAACAAGTACTTTGCACAACTCCATGAATTAATTTTTTCCTTTTTTCTTATCTTTTTCCCCCCCACTCCCTAAGAATGATAGCTAAAGTTATTTAAGCAGAGTGAGGATGCCTCCAAAGTGGTAGAACATAATCCAGAAATAAAAGATGTTTAAAATGTACATAATATTATGAATTGAGCGCTACTTGCTGATAAACTAACTATGTCTATTAAGTCCTTTATATACATTAAAAAATTACACTCATGCAGATGGCTTGAGATGTGGATAAATAAAAAACAAAATAAAATCTTGTTTCCCTGGGACACTAAAGTTATTACTGATACTCTTACCTTTTTTCACACCAACACGTGTCAGTTAAAATACTAGTGATTTTTGCCGGGACCAGTTTGGCTCAGTGGATAGAGCGTCAGCCTGCAAGGTCTCGGGTTCGATTTTGGGCAAGGGCATGTACCTTGGTGCGGGCACATCTCCAGTGGGGGATGTACAAGAGGCAGCTGATCGATGATTCTCTCTCATTAATGTTTCTAACTCTCTATCCCTCTCTCTTCCTCTCTGTGAAAAATCAATTAAAAAATATATTTAAAAAAATACTAGTGATTTTTAATAATCTTCAACTGTCACTGAAGGTTCCAAAAGACACCAAAATAGGTTTAAGAGCAAATAGAATAGAATGTAATTCAGGACCAGAACCTCTTAATATAGAAAAACAAACCGATATTGTGTCATTGGACATTTACTGAATTAGAAACAATATAAGATTTAGCTGTTTAGGCCCTGCGAGGCAAATAAGAAAGAAGCACTGTACTTTTTACGAATACATGCCTTCACCATCTCCCCAATCAAGGCCTGGGTGGAAAACTCAACTGAAGAGTTATCTGATCTTAATACAAGAAAACCGGACAAATATTAACACCAACTTATAAACTCACAGCACAAAGTAACCTGTTTTTAGGGATTCATGTTAAAATCATAAATAGAATTTCTATGCTAAGCAATAACAAAAATTGCATTTTAGATTTTGCTACTCTATTAGGTAAAATGGTACCTATGCCTAGCCTCTCTGAAACTCACAAACGACTAAGACAAAAAAAAAAAAAAAAAAGGAGAACAGTATTTTTTGATTATACCAACTTTCACAAAGGAATCTCGGTTAGAAAAATAAATCAGCATTTTAGCATCAAGAACAAAGTAATTTTAACTCTGGGAAATGTGGTTAAAACTTAGATATCAGCAATGCGTACAACTCTGGACTAGACTCTAGAAGTCAGAAGATTAGAGAGCAATTATAGAAGATGTTCTAAGAGTTTCCAAACATATAACACATGAGAAAAATGGTGTAATTTTCCTTTCTTTGATAGAGTTCCCAGCAAAAGAGTTATTAGACACTCACGGATCAACACTCTTTGCTATAGCAGCCATGATAAAGAGAACCGCTTCTGTCACCTCCCAGGGTGGGTTGCCTTCTTTCAGAGTAGAATATAACTAGAGAAGAAGAGGTGGATTATGGATCCATTAAAAGGGAAACAGAATAGAATTCCAAAACAAACAAAACAAAAAAAAACCCTGTTAGTTACAATAAATCCAGCCCCTTATTTCTAAATTGAAATATCTCTCCGAGCCAGGAAAGGATATGACTTCCATTTTTCACAGCTTCACTAATTACTAATCTACAAGTAACTTGTAATTTAATATTTAAAATAAACCCATTTAGATCCCCAAGAATATACCAAGATTATTGTCTGCTCCCACAAAATGAATATTATAGAAAAAACAAAACATATTAGTGAGTGTCTTTTCCTGGTTCTGATAACAACTGATAAATACATAAACACACTTAAAATTGAGACACAATGTAAATTCTCTATATATGCATTGGCTTTGCATTCCTATTGACTACATCAAACTATAGCACAGATTGAATTCCTAGAAAGTAGCGGTCTAAAGGGACCTATCACAATACCATGTCCAAACAAGAGGGGGTGGGGAGAGACCAAGCAGAATATTCAGAGATATCCAGAAATTTCCCAGGGTATATCCATCTGGAATGTGACTCTGGGTGTTAGTCTAAATAAGATTTCTCTAGTCAAATAACAGACATTGCTAGGTAAGACAAAACCATTGTATAGGACTTTACAGAGCCTTTAATATATCATTTAAGTCATTTCCCCATTTTAATTGATGATGGATCGTTTTTTGCCAAAGAATATCTCATGGGACTGGTGTTCCACAGAAAATATCTTGAACAACACTGATGATTTATGATCTGGAGAAGAACAAGTAACTGGCCACCCCAGCCAGGTGGCACAGTTGGGAGTATCAACCTGTACAATAAAAAGGTTGCAGGTTCAATTCCAGGTCAGGGCATGTACCTACATAGCGGGTTCGATCCCCTGTCAAAGTGTGTACTGGAGGCAACCAACAGATGTTTCTCTCTCTGTCTCTCTCCTTTCTCCTCTCTCCCAAATCAAAGAACATGTCCTCAGAAAAGGATTAAACACACACACACACACACACACACACACACACACACACACACACACAAAAGAGTAAGTAACTTGCTCAAAAGCATGGAGACAGGTCATCTGCCTGTGATGTAGCGATCTTAGTCCTTTCTAAAAATCCCCAACCCTTTGTAGTTAGGTCAATAAACACACTAGCTTAATATAAAGAAAAATAGTTATAGTTTTATTAACACTTTCTAGATCAGATTATGCCCCCCAAATACACAAAATGTATGGGTTACAAAAATATTAGGTTAGTTCAGTATTGTTGACAAAACATCAAAACTAGCATTTCAGATCTTAAAAGTGTGATCGAGCAATATGAAAGCCACCTGAACTTATGCTAATGTTAAGTGATGTGGAATGGTAATGATCGCAATCTTATGAGGTAAAGTGTCACTCACTGATTGTGAGGAAAACCACAGAACTATAATTCTTCTACTCTAGTATAATCACCTCTGGGATGAAACTGCACAGGAATCTAACCATAAGTATGGACAAAAGACAATGCCAAATAACTAAAGGAATCGACAGGAGTTGGTACATAATTATTAAAGCAGAGAAACTTGCTATTTTTCCTGTCTAAATTCCCTATAAGTATCCTGGGGCTTTAAGGTTTATCTATGATCTTCCATTCCAGCAGGACAAGTGGAATAGCTTTCATTAGCAAGCGTCACAGAGCAAACTATAATTGAACCGTCCTCAGACTGCAATTGGCTTAAAAGATAGTAAATAAACATAGCTACTATATGCCAGGCAGTGTGCTAGGCACCTGCATATCTATTGTCTTATTTAGCCAATGAGATTGAAGAAAAAAAATGGAACATTTATAGAAGATACAGAAGATATAGAAGATACATAATTAAAGTGATCATTAAAACTGGTGAGAATCTCCAAATGAGCTTACCTGAGCAAAACACTCCATAGACCCAATCAGGAAAATCAAGTCTTTCACCAGGTCTGATACCCTCATTCGAAACTCCCCAAAGTCATCAGTTTCCTCAGGAACCCCCTCCTAAAATATCAAATCAAATAACATTTGTTTTAAATATTTTCACTGACCACTATGCAATCAAGAAAAAAAGGGGGGGAAAAGGCCATTAGACAAAAGATAAATCACCTAAATCACAAAGACATTTTATTATAGAGCGTCCCCCAAACATTTAGGTATTTCAAGTCAATAAAACATATCTACCACCTTTATCAACTCTTCTACTACTTCTTCTTCTTCTTCTTTTTTTTTCCATTTCCAAGCTATATCTTACTCTATTGTTAGAAAATTTTAAAGGGGTGGAGGTAGGAAGTAATCTGGAAGAGGTGGTAATTCAAGAGCTTATAAGTTCATTTAAATAAGTTCTAGCTTTTTAGTACTGAATAAGCCTCTGAAATGTTATGGTTCAAGATCTACTAAAATCAACCATTATCCCAATATCTAGTCACAGAATAAATTATTTAAAAAGAATTTTGAATATGTTAACAGACATAATAAAACAAGTATAGTAAAATATTAATCATAGAATTTAGGTAGTAGATATACAGATATTCACTAACAAAATCATTTCACCTTTGCCACATATTTGAAAATTTTCATTAAAAAATAGAAATCATTTACATTTCAATGTTTCTTAAATATTTCTTATTCCAACACAATTCTCTGAGTAAACAAAGGCTTACCCAATCATGAAGTGGTTAAGGGCATATATAAGAATCTTGGAACATGAAATCTGAAAAAAGCCCTTAGGACTACTGAGAATTGCTGATGTGTTTCAACCTCCTTACTATAACATGAACAAATCAATAAAAGTGAAGGAATAAGGAGGAAAGGAAATGATGGCTGTCTCAGATGAGATAAAATACTATACACCTAACTAGTATAGAAAATTAACTACAAGGGAAATGGTGCCACGGAACTAGCAAAGAGAAGAAAGGGATCAAGTAGTCATTTAAACCAGAGCAACCTGCTTTTATTTACATTATCAGGCTTCTAAGTACAATGTAGTTAAAGATAGCATTCATCAGTTTAAAAAAGTATTGAAAACTACTAGACTAAATCATCATTAAGGTTCTGTAGAGACACAAAATATCATGACTCAAACAACAATGTTAACATTAAAATGAACAGAATAGACAGTTTTCATGTCAGATTTAATTGTAAGCAATGGGGGAAAAATCCTCACTCTAAGTCCTAAATTAGAGTACAGGGATTAAACCAACCAACCAACTCAAAGGATGAAATAAATGCTGTAAAATTTGAAGAGACTATGCAAAGAATAGAAACTGAAGAGTTTTTGAACAGCTATTTGATAATATTCCTAGTATACTTTCTTCTAAGCAAATAAATTATTTCTAAATTTCCTTTAAAAATCATATAAATAATATAAAGAAAAACATGTATGTATGTGGGAGGGAAATCATATTATTCTCCATATCCTCATAAAAATAAAAAAATATTTAACTTTCGCATTAGTTTTAATCCAACCAACACATTCTGAATTTTTCTTTTTTTTTTTTTTTAGCATACCAGCTATCAATATCAATAGTTACTTATTTTTAACTGCTACATAATGGTACATTAAGGTACTATATCATAATTGATACAACTCTTCATATACTGTTATAAATAGTTTTACCTTTTTTTGTTTTTTAAATAGATAGTGCTTTTATAAAGTAGCTCCTTTTTCTTCTGCAAAATTTAAGGTAAATTCCCAGAATTACTGGCTCAGCAGACTTAATTTCTTTGTACGTAGACCTAATACTCTTCAATATATTGATACTGATTTCTTCAGTTTAAGCTAGTGATAGAAAACCTTCACACATTTCATTAGCTTTATTGTCAAAAGTTCCTCTTCAAAACAATATTAAAAAGAGGAGGAAATTAAGATTTAAAGTAGTAGAGAAAAGAACTTACATGGTCTGGTTCTAGCTGGCAGTGTCGAGCCAAGGCATGAAGTAGTCTCTGAATGTAAGCTTTGAAGATGCCATGAATAACTTCGTCGTTAGTTTTGTACAAATGCTCCCCTAGTCGGTACCAAAAGTTAAAGGAAATTTCTACTACCTATTAGAGAAAGGGAAATGAAATGGAATGAGTTTTATTATTATTAGGGCAATGTAGGAAACAAGATATATTTTTAAGTGGAATCAATTAAGAAACCACCTTTTTTCTAGATTTATTATCCTCCTCCCAAATTATCTTCTCATATCAGATCCCAAAATCCTTTTAGAGATGGCTTTACCTTTCCTATTTACCCTAGATAACTTCTCCATCAGTATATTAGATTCTGAATTTAGAGAAGCAGATAGAAAAGTGGAAATCTCTTCACGTATTTTTCACCAAATTCTGAAATAATTTCATTTTATATTTGAGATTAGAGAACCTATAACAAGACAAACCATTTGCAAGTATCCCTGTACTTACCAACCTTATATCACTTTTATTCACTTGATTTCTTGAGTGGGAAAGGGGAAACAGATTTTATCCACAGCTTATCTTACTTATAGCACTGTTTAAAGAAGTTATAATAATATGTAGTGCTATACTACCTCCCAAAAGTTTTATTTCATTTTATTTTTTAAAAATTATTTTGTTGTTGAGAGTATTTATTACATATGTCCTCCACTCTCTCCCTTTGCTCCCTTCCTCTCCTCTCCCAGCCCATTCCAGGCCTTCACCTGTCTACTGTCTTTGTCCATGGGCTATGATTAATTTGTACTTTTAAATCATTCACCTTCTTCAACCTCTCTCCCATCTCACAACTGTCAAGATGTTATCTGTATCTATCTACGAGTCTCTCTTTTGCTTATTTTCTTAGATTCAAATGTTGATATATACATTATCTATTGCCATTTTATTATTCCTATTCTTGACCATCATCCTTCCTTTCCCTCTTCTTCTTCTTCAAGAAGACACTTTATTAATTTTTTTAATTGATTTTAGAGAGGAGGGGAGAGGGAGATAGAAACATCGATAAGAGAGAATCATTAATCAGCTACCTCCTGCACGCTCCTTACTGGGGATTGAGCCCACAACTCGGGCATATGCCCTTGACCAGAGTTGAACCTGGGACCCTGCAGGCTGATTGTCTATCTACTGAGCAAAACCGGCTAGGGCAAGACCCTTTATTTTTTATGTAATACTGGTTTAGTGGTGATGAATGCCCTTAGCTTTTTTCTTGTCTGGAATTCTCTTTATAAGTCTCTCAATTCTAAATGATAGTTTTGCTGGGTATATTAATCTTGTTTAGGTACTTGCTTTTCATTTCTTTGAATATTTTGTGCCACTCCCTTCTGGTCTCAAAGTGTCTGTTGAGAAATCAGCTGAGAGTCATACAGGTAACTCCCTTGTAGGTAACTAACTGCTTTTCTCTTGCTGCTTTTAAGATCCTCTCTTTGGCCCAGCTGGTGTGGCTCAATGGTAGAGCATCAACCTATGAACCGATTCCCAGTCAGGGCACATGCCCAGGTTAGTCTCAATCCCCTGTAGGGGGCATGCTGGAGGCAGCCAATCAATGATTCTCATTACTGATATCACTGATGCTTCTATCTTTCTTCCTCTCTGGGGAAAACACACACACACACACACACACACACACACACACACACACTCCCCCCCCACAGTTGTCTTTAATCTTTGGCATTTTAATTATGATGTGTCCCGATATAGGTCACTTTGGGTTCATCTTGTTTGGAACCCTGTGTTTCCTGGACTTATATATTTATTTATTTCACCGGGTAAGGGAAGTTCTGTTACTATTTTTTCAAATAGGTTTTCATTTTCTTTCTCCTTCCAACACCCCCATGATGTGATTGTTGGTATGCTTGAAGTTGTCTCAGAGACTCCTTATACTATCTTCATATTTTTTTATTCTTTTTGCACTGATTGGGTGTTTTTGCTTCCTGGTAGTCTAATTTTTTTTATTTGATACTTAGTATCCTCTACTCTACTGCTGATTCTCTGCAAATTATTCATTTCATTTCTGGCTGGTTTGTTTATGTTGCTGATGTTCTCACTAAGTTTCTTGAAGTTCTCAGCAAGTTACTTGAGCATCCTTATAACCACTGTTTCAAACTCTGTATCTGGTAGTTTTCTTGCTTCCATTTCATTTAGTTCTTTTTCTGGAGAGTTCTGCTGTTCTTTCATTTGTGGCATGTTTCTTTGTCTCTACAGTTTGTCTGCTTCCCTCTGGTTGTTTCTAAGTATTAGTAGATCTGCTATGTCTCTTGGATGCCTTGTGTAGTAGGTGTCCTGTAGGGCCTAGTGGCTCAGCTTTCCAAGTCATCTAAGCTGGGCAATCCAGGTACCTCCCTGTGTGAGCTGTGCAGATGCTGACCCTATGGAACAGGACTTGCTTTTAGTGCATTTGTCACTTGAGTGTGTCACCCTTGGCGGTGTTAGGGTTGTAATCCAGCATTGATGAAGTTGACCACTAGGTGCACTGCTGGCTCTGGAGCCACTGGGAGGTGCAAAGTCAACCACTGCCTAAGCCCTCTACACGGGTCCACCCAGCATTAGCTACAAAGCAGTCTGCATATGGCTGCTACTTGTGTTGGGCTTGGAGGTGCCCAGGAGAGCCAAGCTATGAACCAAGGCAGGCTGCCACTGACGCCAGACCTGGAGCCACTTATTGAGAGGTACGATGCTGCTTGTTTGAGAAATTTTAGCAAAGTCTGTAGCATGAGGCAAGATAGAACAGTTGTATGGAAAAGCCACTGGCAATGGCTTGGATGAGCATGCAAGTAGGGAGGGGCAGGATCTTAGGAAATCACCAGGGTGTGCTTAAAAGTGTGAGCCAGGTTGATAAAGATTCAGATACGGTGTTGTGCCTGCCAACTTTGTGGTGCAGAGAGCTCATCAAAGGAACAATAGCCTCTGCCAGAACTTCTGTCTGGGAGAATGCTGCCCCTCCAGCTCTTGCCCTGATTCCAGGCAAGTTAGTTCCTTCCTGAATGTCCCAGGTTCTTTTCAAGCTGCTGCCCAGTGCTGGAGCTAGGAGGAAATGAGTCTGAGTAAGAGGGTCCTTTAAGAGGAACTGCCTGAGACCAGGAAGCCTCCATGTAACTTAGCCACAATCCCTGCTGGTTTTTACAGCCAGAAATTGTGGAGACTTCTCTTCCTGATACTGGAACCCTGGGCTGTAGAACCTCGTGTGGCGCTGGGACCCATCACTCCTCAGGCCCTAAGGCTTAGGGAAACCTCCACAGCCAAGACATCCCTCCCATTTTAAACTGCCACACGTAGAAATGGGACCAACTGGTTCTGCAATTCCACCCCTCCTACAAGTCTTGATGTGCTGCTTCTTTAATTCCCTAGTATAGGACTTGCATTTAGCTAGATTTCAGATGGATCTGAATGATGGTTGTTTGGTATTTTAGGTGAAATTTCGATGTGATTGTGAGAGGTGGAGAGTCCAGCATTTACCTATGCAATCATCTTGACCAGCCCCAAAAATGTTTTAACTGGTTTTTAAAAAACCGATTTTTAGAGAGAGAGAGAGAGAGAGAGAGAGAGAGAGAGAGAAATATCAACTTGTTGTTCCACTTATATATGCATTCATTGGTTCTCTTATATGTGCTCCAACTGGAAATTGACAGGCATCCTTGGTGTATCAGAATGATGCTCCAGCCGAAACTGGTTTGGCTCAGTGGTAGAGCGTCGGTCTGCGGACTGAAAGGTCCCAGGTTCGATTCCGGTCCAGGGCATGTACATTGGTTGCGGGCACATCCCTGGTAGGAGGTGTGCAAAAGGCAGCTGGTCGATGTTTCTCTCTCATCGACGTTTCTAGCTCTCTATCTCTCTCCCTTCCTCTCTGTAAAATATCAATAAAATATATTTAAAAAAAAAAAAAAAAAAGGTTGAAAATTAACAGGACTATTGTGACCTCCCTAAGAGGGGCTCTATATCATACTTTACCCATCAAGGATACAAAATAGAACTATTTAAAGTAATACCCAAGTTGGGAGTTTTTTGCCACTTCTTACACAATTAAGAGAAGATAAAATTACTTAAATGAAGTTTTTTTTGTTTGTTTGTTTGTTTTTTAATTTAGCAAACTTAAAAGAGGTAAGGTGTCTTACACCAAATTTTAGAATGAAGGAGACTCTTTAAGTCCTTTTAATCTTTTCTCATTCCCATTCATAATCTGGAGACAAATTTTGGATGTTAAGATTTTTGGAGGTGTACTTAAGTTTTGGTGGTGTTTTCTTTTAGCTGTAAAACTCTAAAGAATAACTACAGAGAAATAGGGAGCTCAGCAGAAAGATAGTGGGCTTTCTTTCTAACTGCCTCACTGAAGTACATATACCAGTCAGCTCAGCTAACCAGGTAAAAAAATAGAAAAGGATTCAAAAGAAGTTCAAATATAATTAATTAAAAAAAAAAAAAATCCAGCCGAAACCGGTTTGGCTCAGTGGCAGAGCATCGGTCTGCGGACTGAAAGGTCCCAGGTTTGATTCTGGTCAAGGGTATGTATATTGGTTGCGGGCACATCCCCGGTAGGGAGTGTGCAAGAGGCAGCTGATCAATGTTTCTCTTTCAACAACGTTTCTAGCTCTCTATCCCTCTCTCCTCCTCTCTGTAAATAATCAATATAATATATATTAAAAAAAAAATCCAATACAGAGGCAACCCCCACATCAGATCAATTAAAAATAAGACTTTTATTTCCCATTAATATAAAGCTGGGTGAGAAACAATAGAATATAAACAATATAAAACTTGGAGGAAAATGCTTTAGCATAGTATAAACACTACCTCATATTGAGGATGTCCTGCACAAATAAGAAGCAGTTCTAGAGTTCGCAGATCCCCAAGACCTTGGCCTGGAGTACAAACAATTTTTTCAAGAAAAGTTTCACATAGTTCAGTAAAAATCCGACAGTAATTCAGAACTCTGTAAATGAAAGAGAAATAAGAATACCAAGTCAGAAATCTCGGTATTTTATATACATATTCACCAATAGTTATTCAAATAAAGAAAATGATCCTCAGCCCAAATGATTATTTGCTATGCTGTACTCCAATCTCCATGACATCCACTATTTTTACATCAAATACTTTTATACATATAAGAAAATTACTCATAAGTAGTTCAAATTCTCAATTACTAAACATCTGCATAAAATTCCCATCAAAATCACACTTGATACTTCAAAGTTCATCCCTAATTTTTAGAACCTTCCCCCTTTTAAGCATAAAAAATTACGACTTTCTATGATTACAACTTTTCCTTCTGCATTCAATTTGCCACTCCAGGTCAGATGAAAACAGAAGAGCATCTTTAGGATACAAAGTGTGTATTTACAGTCACAAAGAGTCACAAAGAATAGATAAATTATAAAAAGAACACCAGACTGTGTGTGAATCCAGGGCTACTGCCTTAAATACTCACTTATCTAAATCTTCGCGTGCCACAGCCATATGATAGGCAGTCTCCAATGTCAGGACTCCTTGAAACAGTTGCATGGCTAATGGCAAGTTAGTCTCCACATTCTCAATGGCATAGAGAGCTGAGCACACACAATCTGAAGCAGCTTCATGTAGGTTGGATGAGGTCTTATCCTGTTGCTGGGAAACAGAAATAGGGTAGAAGTATGATCATTAAGCTATAATCCAATTAATATATAAACAATTATAGCCTGTTTCTGAACATGTAATTTACATGACTAAAGCCTGATAGTCATGGTCTTCAATGAGACAATACCCATCAATTTTCTCAATGCTATTGAGATTTCCCTATATGCCAAGCAAGTCAGCCTTTTTGTACCTCAATCATGATCACATCACTTCTAAAACGCATGTTTTCCTTATCAGTCCCTCCGATTGGAATGCCATGTGTGTTTCCTGCCCTATTTATTCTCTGAAAAATTTTCCATCCTTTTTCTGACATTTAAGTACTATCTAAAATGAAAGAATCCAATAATTATCAGAGACCCATACATAACATCAACATGATATTTCAGAATATCAAGGTTAAAGAGAGGTTCTTAAAACTTCTGGGGAAGAGAGGAGAAGGTAACTTAGAAAGGAGCAAAATCAGTTATCCAGTTTCATCATTAGCAAAGATGAAGCAAAAATTAGTTATCCAGCTTCATCATTAGCAATGATTTTTGCCAGTATACAAGAGCCCTTGAAAATTTTGAAGGAAAATAATTATTTTACTCGCCCAACCAGGGTAACTTAGTGATTGAGCATTGACCATGAACCAAGAGGTCACCAGTTCAATTCCCAGTCAGGGCACATGCCCGGTTTGTGGGCTTGATTCCCAGTAAGGGGCGTGCAGGAAGCAGCCGATTAATGTATACCAGCACACAACCATTAAGCACAGAGAGACCATACTTCCGGGAACCAATTCCAGCATGTAATAATTACAAGAATTTCACCAAAAGGTTGGTGAAGTTTGGAGACTGAACAAGGGCTGAGCCAAAAATGTAATTATCTATTGGAACTGGCTGTAATTATCTATTGGAAATGTAATTACCTATTGGAACGGCACTTCCCCCACACCTGATTAGTATAATCGCTTGCTACCAGACAGCTGAGGGCATTTTATTGCCTCCTGTTGGCCAAACACCTGTATAGCTGTAGACTATTCCCCAAACTGACAATGCTTCAGTACCCTACCCTTTGAAACGTTACCCTTTGAAGTGTATGTCTCCACCTTGCCTCAGGACAAATTGTGTTAATAAATAGCATGGGGTTCTTAGACAAGGGGTAGTCTTCAGTTCCTTTAGCTGAAGCTCTCCTGATCCCTAATGCTTTTCAAAATTATCTTTCATCTTTGGACTCCTTCTTGAATCTACACATTAGCTCCTTTCTCCAGATTACAGCACCCAGTGTTAATGCTGGGACAAGAAACCTGGCACATATTAATATGTCTTCATGGAAGAAAAGCATCTGAAAAAAGAAGACAAAGTCACTCCCACCTGCAAATATCTATTTTATACTTGTGCTTTTCTTTTTCTTCCAATCACTTTTCAGAAATATGAGAACACTGTTATGTCCCAGAATGTTAGTTACTGTGGATATGTGGCAGTAATACTTTAATTAAAAAAAGCCATTACTTACCAAAACCTCAAAAAGGAGTGCTAGTAATTTATTGTTAGCCATGAAGTTACTGTCTAAAACGCCTAGGTTAAACCAACTTCCCAAACATCGAAAGACCTTCATGAGCATTTTTTCATCTGTTCCTGCTTTTTCTACACAGGTCATCTGAAAATAAGGAGAAAAAAAAAATCTTTATATTTAAGACAATCACCTCACAGATGTAATGAAAAGGATGAAAACAGTAAAAGCTAACAGAAGTGCTTTAGAAGTACGAGATTTTGTTCTCAACACTGTTAATTCATTTAATCCCCACTAAAACTCTATAGCTAGTACTATGATTATCTCACTTGGAAAGCTGAGATACAAAGAGATTATACACTTGCCAAAAGATAGCTATGCCTTACAAATAACTTTCTTAGATCCCATTTGTGCATTAATATAATCTTATCAGTAGAACTGTCTTTAAAGTAATACTCATCTATGGTTGATTTTATAAAATAGAAATAAGCTAATCATACTACTACTGTATATTCCCATATGAAAAGCTGATATTTCAGCTTAAGCACTTAATACTCAAGTAAATATGCCATTTCACAGAGAATGGCAGTACTACAAATGTGATAGTTTATAAAAGACTTTTTAAAAGTTAGGCTAAAACTCATTATTGCTTCTCTTTGCAAACTGTTTTTGTGATATATAATTTTCCAAAATGAAGTGTAATTTAACTTTTTCTGGACAGAAAGTTTTAAATTACAACCGTGGAATTACAGAAATTCTGAGAATGATAGTAAGGGAAATAACCAAAACATAAAATAGAAGGCCCTATTTCAACAACTGACATGAACTAATAGTAGAAAAACATATAACTTCATTTTGGAAATGTTTCTCAAAAAATAAGGGCTTTCCCTATCATTTAAGGGTCGAGATGAAGTAGAAGTTGTAGAAAGAGGCAACTGTAGAATTTGATCTTCTTGATAATTTGATTAAGTTTACTGAACTTAATCAAATTATCAAGATCTCACTAAAGAATTTCTATTTGCCGTCAGTTTAAAATAAAATCCTGATTACATTTTTATTCTTTCTACTAGATGCATTGTCTGTTTTCTTTGTAAATGCAATATAATAAACAATTTAATAACAAAAAAAAAAGTGTTTAAATATAACATTTACATCGCTAAGTGGTTTGGCTCAGTGGACAGAGCATAGGCCTGTGAACTGAAGGGTCCTGGGTTCAATTCTGATCAAAGCATGTACCTTGGTTGCAGACTCGATCCTTGTGCTGGAAGCAACCAATCGATGCATCACTCTCACATGGATATTTCTCTCTGTCTCTCCCCCTCCCTTCCACTCTCTCTAAAAAAAAATCAATGAGAAAATATCCTTGGGTGAGGATTAACAACAATAACAAAATAATAAATAACATTTCCATCATAATTGCCATGAGTTTTGGAGGTATAGGGGATATGGAATCCCATATGACCTAAATGTTGGCACTTATACTTCTAGGTAGCCATGCCTCCCTATGTTTGCAGTATCAGGCAATAATCCATCTAATAAAAGAGTAATATGCAAATTAACCATCACTCTGCTATACTCACAAGCCATTCCCATCAGCCAATCAGGAGCAAGTATGCAAATTAACCCAACCAAGATGACTGAACAGGAGGCTTGGTTCCCCCCCTCCCCCCCAGTGATGGAGGAAGCCAAGCTTTCCACACATCCTGGCCAGCCCAGTCCTCCACTCAAGGCTACAAAGTTTCAATTATAGAAGATAAATAAATCCCAACAAAAATAGCTGTGGCCATGGAGCAAGCAGGAGTCCTGGCTCCACTCAAGGCTACAAAGTTTCAATTATAAAAGATAAATAAATCCCAGATACCAGGGCCTCTGCTTGGGTCGCCGGGGGGTGTGGCCAGCCTGCAAACCACCACAGGTCATTTGCCCAGGCTGCACCACACCTCAAGGGAACCCCCACCCTGATCTAGGACACCCTTCAGAGCAAACCAGCTAGCCCCCACCATCACTATATAGATAGTGATATATAGATATAATTAGATAGGATATATGGCCTATATCCTATCTAATAAAAGAGTAATATGCAAACTGACCATCACTCCCACACACAGGATGGCTGCCCCCATGTGGTCAAAGATGGCTGCCTCCATGTGGATACAAGATAACAGCTATAAGATGGTAAGTAGGGGAGAGCAGTTGGGAGGGACCAGGCCTGCAAGGGACCACTGTTGGGGGAAATTAAGCCTGCAGAGTAGGGCAGTTAGGGGTAACCAGACTGGCAGAGGAGGGAAGCTGAGGGCAAACAGGCTGGCAGGGGAGTGGTTAGGATCAATCAGGAAAGCAGGTAGGCAAGCAGTTGGAGCCAGCAGTCCTGGATTGTGAGAAGAATGTCTGACTACCCGTTTAAGCCCATCCCGGTCAGGGAGACAGACATCCCTCTAGCGATACAGGCTGGTGGAGGGTGTTGCTTTCTTCAACCCGAAGAGAGATAAGCTCCCAATCACTCTGAAATCCAGTTTCTGGAAAGAAGCTGGACTGTCTGCCATTGGGTCGAAAAGTGAGGGTGGCTTGCTTACAGAGCTGCGCACAAAAATAATTGTTTGCTGTCCTAGAGCGCAAGACAGGACTCGGTCAGAGAGGCAGAGACAGTTGACTGGCAACCATCGCTGTTTGCCACACTCTAGCCTAGTGACGCCCTAAGAATCCGCCCACACAATCTACAAACACATCCACGTGGCTTTTGCATATGAATGTACTTCTCTATTGCAGTTTAACCTAGCAAACTTGCAACCTCATGCAGACAGCTCCAAAGACTCCAAGCTCCAATCAGGGAGGAGAGGACTGGGGTTCTTGCTGTAGCTCCTGCAGGGTAATGTCAGATAGGAGCTGAACTTAACCCCACTGGAGATCCAGAAGCCAGTGGGGTGAAGTTCAGCTCCTATCAGGTCAGTGTGTGAGACATCAGATTTCAACTCCTCACACCCATAAGTGACACATTTGGTGCTCAGTGAGCACCAAAGCCCCACTGAAACAAGGCCTGCACCATAAGCATGTCTCTAGTGCAGCAGTTCTTTCATTATAGACACAGCGGGTTCTCACAGCCAGTTGGCCTAGAGGTCAATTCCTCCCAGTGTACCAACAGCAAACAAGGTTTAACTACACCAAGTCTTTGCACTCAGCCCACAAAGGGGTATACCTATGGGGAAGCTGAGCTACTGGCCCCTATAGGTCACCTACCACACAAAGCCACACTCCATCAACATAGGGAGGCAACCAAAATACGGAGACACAGAAGTATGTCACGAATGGAAGAGATAGAGGAAAGTAAACTACTGAATGACACAGAGTTCAGAATCATATTTATAAGGTTACTCAAAAATCTTCTAAAAACTGCTGAGAAACGTGAAGAGACCTTTAAGGACCTTAATGATAATAGCAAAAAATGGAAAAGGACTAGTCAGAAATAAAATATACGCTGTCTGAAATAAAGAATATACAGAAACTCAACTGTAGATCAACGTACCTCGAGTCAAACCAAAGATCTGGAATATGAGGAAATAAAAAACACCCAATCAGAGAGGCAGAAAGAAAGAAAAATCCAAAAGTGTGAGGATAGTGTAAGGAGCCTCTGGGACAGCTTTAAGTATACCAACATCTGGATTTCTGGGGTGCCAGAACAAGAGAGAGCAGAATATCGAAGGCGTATTGAAAGAAATAATGACAGAAAACTTTCCCAACCTGGTGAAAGAAATAGACTTACAAGTCCAGGAAGCACACAGAACCGGAAACAAGAAGAATCCAAAGAGGACCATACCAAGACAATCATAATTAAAATGCCAAGGGCAAAAGACAAAGAGAGAATCTTGAAAGCAGCAAGAGAAAAACAGCTAGTTACTTACAAAAGAGAACCCATACGACTGTCAGCTGATTTCTCAACAGAAACTATGCAGGCCAGAAGGGAGTGGCAAGAAATATTCAAAGTGATGAACAGCAAGAACTATAACCAAGATTATTCTACCCAGCAAAGTTATCATTCAGAATTGAAGGTCAGATAAAGAGCTTCACAGATAAGAAAAGCTAAAGGAGTTCACCACCAAACCAGGATTACATGAAATGCTGAAGGGTATTCTTTAAGAAGAGAAAGAAGAAAAAGATAAAGGTAAAAACTATGAACAACAAAAAGACATCCAATACATACCTACCAAGTGAATCTAAAAATCAAGTGAATAAAAAATCTGAAGAACAGAATGGACTGGTGAATATTATAGAATCAGGGACATAGAAAGGGAGTGGACTGACAATTCTCAGGGGGAAGAGGGTCTGAAGGATGCAGGAAGAGACTGGACAAAAATCTTACACCTATGGAAGAAAACAGTGGCAGGGGGTAAGGGCATAGGGTGGGGTGGGAATCAGGCGAAGGGGAGCTTTGGGGGAGGGGGGGAAAGGAACATTTGTAATAATCTGAACAATAAAGATTTATTATATATAAAAAAAGATATTTTGACTTTCTAATAGAAACTCAGGAGATTGCCAACTAATATGTAGAATTAATTATCTACACTAATAAAAGAGTAAGATACAAATTGACCATTCCTTCATGAAGCTCACCAGCCAATCAGGAGTATGCAAATTATCCCAACAAAGATGGCAAGTTAATTTGCATACACAGGTACCATGTGGCTGGGGGCTGGGTGGGATCCGCACTGTCCCAGCCACTCCGGGCCTCTGGGCAGCATGGGAAGGCAGAAAGGTGGCTGCGGGCCGGAGCGAAAAGGCAGCTCTGGCCAGAGCCACGGCGGGCAGGCAGCCAGAGTAAGGAAAGCCCGTTCTTGCATGAATCTTCGTGCATCAGGCCCCTAGTACAATTAATAAAATACTATTTGGCAAGTCACAATTAAAGTGGCAACAATTATAAAATAGAGTTTAAAACATAAGGCAAAATTTGACATGGAATGGGCACTTGTAAAATAATAAACTACCATCAAACAAATTGCATTACAAGAGGAAGACAAAGTTTATAATTGAGAAATCAGACTGTCATCATCTTAATCCAGTCAATCCTAGCTTCAGTAATGAGTATTTATATTCTGATAAAATGTACATGAAGTATCTGTGATGTGTCCTAATAAAAAATATTTAACCTTTAAAATTAACCCATCAAGCCTTTCTCAATTAGTGTTCTGGGAAAGAACTAAGTCCCACAGAAAATGGTTTTAGTGACTATTTCCTCAATTATCCTAAGGAGGTATATAGTTGGTACTATTATTAATGCATTGGAAAAATTCATTACATACAATGGGTGCATTAACATCATTAAGGCTTAATTCTCTTGAAGAATCCCTATGAATTAAGTCTGGCTTTGGCTACAACTTCCAAATATAGGACTTACAGAGAGCAGAAAAACAAGCTAAATGAAACAAAGACAAAACAATCAGAAAATAAAATACCTTACCTTCTATTCCAATCTTTTCAACAAATCAGTGTCATTTTGAAAAAGGGGAAGAGAGACTATGATTAAGAATCATAATAACCGCCTGGCCAGTGTTGCTCAATGGTTGAGTGTCCATCCATGAACCAGGAGGTCATGGCTCAATTCCTGATCAGGGCACATGCCCATACTGCAGGCTTGATCCCCACCGCAGGAGGCAGCCAGTCAATGATTCTCTCTTATCATTGATATTTCTATCTCTATTTTTCTCTGAAATCAATAAAATAATATATTTTTGAAAATAATCATAATAGCCCTAGACAGTTTGGCTCTGTTCAATGCATAAAGTGTCGCCAAAGGGCCCCAATTTCAATTCTGGTCAAGGGTATGTACCTTGGTTGCAGGCTCTTCCCACTCCAGGCCCTGATCAGGGCATGTGCAGGAGGCAACTAATCAATGTTTTTCTCACATATTTCTCAATGTCTTTTCCTTTCTCTTCCACTCTCTCTAAAAATCAATTTTTTAACATAAACATTTGGAAAGCCTACTTTATTATATATTGGACTTTCAGCTTTAATGGATGGATGGACACCCCCTTGCCCAAATTAGTCTGTTATATCTAAGTTTTACTATAATGAAACTGAAGAACAAAATAACCACCATGGTTTTTTGCTCCTACGCAGCAACTTCATATTCCAACCTACTTACCAATAGAGATACCACTGTACTAGAGTAGAAGGCCAAATCTTCTATAATTTCTGTGCGTCGATTAGCTCCAATTCGTAAGGAACGACTATGCACTTCTTCAGGTAACACTGTAAGGATCTCCAGCAGAAAAGGCAGGGAAGTTACATCATTGCTATATCTAGAAAAGAAAGAAGAGACATAAGTTACTTAAAGTCAGAAAGGACACAATCACATAAGGTAACAAGAACCATCAGAATAACCTATGACAACAAAAGCAACATTCTCACTACTATTAAAGAAAAAAAAACAATAGATATAACTTTTGAAGGGTATCTGAAGAACAAAATTTCGACTTGCATAATCTTTGACCCAACAATTCTACTTCCAGAATTATTTTTCAGAAAAATCTCATAGGTGCATACAAAGATGTGCCCTGCAATACTTCTTTATAACAAGAAAAATATTGTGAAAACATAAAGTTCCCCCATAATTAAACAAGATAAAAAAGGTTCCAAGTTATACAATAGAACATACATAGCCATTATAATGAGATACCTATCTATGTCATAACAGGAAAAGATATCCACAATGTACTAAGTATTAAAAGTATACAAAATATATTACATGAGTGAACAAATACATATATATGATATGTATAATAAAATATGTGTACTCTTTTTAAAAAATATATATTTTATTGATTTTTAAAAATATATTTTATTAATTTTTTACAGAGAGGAAGGAAGAGTGATAAAGAGCTAGAACATCGATGAGAGAGAAACATCGATCAGCTGCCTCAAGCACACCCCCTATTGGGGATGTGCCCGCATCCAAGGTACATGCCCTTAACCAGAATTGAACCCGGGACCCTTCAGTCCGCAGGCAGACGCTCTATCCACTGAGCCAAACCGGTTTTGGCTATGTACTCTTATTTATTATAAAATGCTTAAAGGAAATTCTAGAGGGCTATATAGCCAAACATTAATATGAAATATAGGAATAAGGAGGAAAAAAAAGTGTTTGCTTTTTACTTTGAAATAAAATAAACTATCCATATAAAGTCTTTAATGACACACTATGCTTGGAGGTAAAAAGGACATCCACTAAGTTCAAAAATAATTTCCTGACCAAATGCCAAAATGCAAACAAATTTCAAGATTATGTTGCCAAGCTCTTGCAGCTCGGCCACTGACATGCCATCCAGACTGAGGAAAACCCGAAAACTTCGGGGCCACAAGAGCCTCGGCCACAGCCACCTCAGCAAGCACAGGAAGCACATTAGTAAGAATGTATACTCACAACAATTTTCAATTTAATATCATCTTAAACATTCTAAAATATTTTTAGAGATTTGCTGATTTATCAATGAGAGTGATCTATGAGGCAATGAAAAGACTTTAATGCAGTTAATTCAAGTGATGTGTGTGTGTGTGTGTGTAAGTTATGAGGGTCTTATGCTTCACATGACATATTTTTATAGTATTTAAATTTTTAATTATTTCCTTTTAATCTATCAATGGTTAATAATAAATAATTCTATAATAAAAGTTTGGGGAAATTGTAGAAATGTCTAGCTATTGCTAACAATTTCTCTGTGTAGGTTAATAGTAATCCCAAATGCTAACATACGGTCAATAGAAGTTACTTACTTTTCCACCAATGTTTGTACACACCCCTTCCATGAAGGCATCTGTAGGGCAAGGTCTGCTATTGCTAAAGCCAGCTGAATAAGAAGAGAAATTAAATAAATAAATAGAGCAGATGAACAGAAATAGGGTTACCATCAGTATTAATTGAAAAGAAACGAAATTTCTTCCAAACAATGACAAGATTGACACCCCACAACTATCTATACCATACACACTCTCCTAGGTTAGCTACTGGAATTTAAAAGGTAACCTAAAAATGAAAAACAAAATAAAAGACAGTAAAAAAAAAGAACAGACAATAAATTTTCCTCAGAATTTAACAATACTTACTTTTATTTGGCAATGCCATAGAACTCCATGACAGGGAAATTTTACTTTGTCAAAAAGCCAAAGCTACTGACAAAGTCAGCCCACTGACTCATTCCTCAAGTAATGAATTGCCATTTCCCTTCTCTTTCCATTTCACATCTTGAAGACTCATGCAAAAGCCTCCTTCCTCTTCAAGGGCACTTCTATGCCAGGCAGAGAACACATATGCATGTATTCACTGAAGCTTCAGTTTTCCTTCCTAAAGTTATTTCCCTGTCTAAGGGAGAAAGGCCAAATGCTCTACTTTACCATTTCATTCATGAAAGTTTTATTAGCCAATCAGTCCAGAAATGATTTTTTTTAAAGGCAACTACAAAGACTGCTGGCCCACAATAGCACACAGTTTTTATCATCTGCAATTTTAACAAGGGAAGTGTGGGGACACACATGTGGCTGCCTGTAAAACCTATACTTACCTCCCCCAGTCCTAGTATTTGCTAGTTTAAAATCAAATGAACTCTAAAATTAATATAAGTATTTAAATTTTCACTTTCTATCCACTTATAAGAATATAGTAATTAGTGTATTTTAAAGTTGTTAACATTACTTCACATGGTCTAGCAACGTTAATCAAAATTAATTTGCTATCCAAATTGTCTTCTTAACAAACTTCCTTAATGAGAAGCATAGGTTTTACCTGTGTTACAATGACAGGTGACAAGTCTTTCAAGTTCTGGATATGGGTTAGTAATGAGTCCCGTAAAGAGGCATGAGAGTCTGTGGGAAGCTCATAAAATGAGGTCTGAATCTTCATTTTCATGGTCTGTGCAGCAAAATAGCATGATTCTACATCCTGTCGAATCTGTAACAACTGGTCTGAAATCTCCCAAGCATGAACCTGAAAGCAGATCAAACAAAATGTCTTAAGGACTGCTTTTCTAAATAATTTTAATATTACCCAACCTATATGCCAAAGTATAATGGAAAGAAAAATCTGACAAATTACTTATCCACTAATTTAGCCCATATTTTAAATTTATAGGCTCTATTAAACAAAATATTATCTAAACTCTTCTGACTTATTTTAGGAAAGCATAGAGTTATCAACTGAATCAATAAATCTAAACCTACTGTTAGAAGCATTAATTGTGTAGGGAGGAGATTATGAAGAGAAATGTCCCAAAAGTTTCTACTAAAACTAAAATGTCACTGTATAACTTTCAAACCTTAATGTATAGGTTAGCTGTTTCTTCTTTTCCCCCACCTCAAATAAATAAGCTTTGTTCACTCTGAGAATTGACTGGAAGCTAATTTAATATATCAATAAACAGGGGACATTTCAATCTTTAGTTACTGAATAAAACCTCAGAAAAACTATCTCAACCCAAGTCAATATCTCACATAATTAAATTATTTTTATGTATTTGGCAAAGTAATATACATGCTATTAAAATCCTTTTCAAAGGAGAAAATAAGTGTGTATAAGTAATAAAGAGAACAAAAGCATAGAATTTGGTCCCTAACAGCTAGTCATAGTTATAAAATGGAATCCTATTTTGAAAGATAACTTTGATAATAAAATCGAGCAGCACACAATAGGCAACTAATTAACAACTGATAGTCTAAAGCAATTCTACACCAAACTGCCTCTCTTCATGGGAAACAGCAAAAATGGACTGGCAATGATGGACTGAAAAAAATTTTCAGTCTTCATTCATAAAGAGAGTCAATGTGAAGAAAAATCACACAGATTTACCTAGTCAATTTTTTATGAAGATAGAGCACTTCACACTATATATATATATTTATATATATATATATATATATATATATATAAATATATATATATATAGTGATTTTTTTTTTTTCTTATTTCAGAGAGGAAGGGAGAGAGAGAAAGAGAAAGAGACAGGGAGAAAAAGAGAGGGAGAGAGAGGGAGGAAGGGAGGAAGGGAGGGAAGGAGAAAGGGAAGGAGCGAGGGAGGGAGGGAAAAACATCAATAAAGAGAATCATTGACTAGCCATCTCCTGCATGCCCTCTTCTGGGGACCGAGATAGAAACCCTGGCATGTGCCCTGATGGAGATTCGAATTGTGACCTCCTGAGTTCATGAGTTGATGCTCAATCATTGAGCCATACTGGCTGGGCCATAGTTATTCTTCAAGATCTTTCCAAAGATAAACAGAAAGTCAAGGGAGAAAAAGGTAGAATAAATGGCCTATACAAGTTTCCAAAGTAAACTAAAAATAGAGACCCTGAAATTCACCATAGGTTTATTGAAATAAAACTTCACTTTAAATCTATAAGCATAAAACATTAACTTCTTTCTAGATCATATTATTTTACTTTTTTTTTTTGGAACTTGTACCCCAGCATGTTGCAAAAAATCTCCTAGCCACATAATTTTTAGTGATTCATTATCCAACCAGAAACCCAACTACACCTGTCACTTAATATGCCATTAGCCGAAACCGTTTGGCTCTGTGGATAGAATGTCGGCCTGCAGACTGAAGGGACCCGGGTTTGATTCCGGTCAAGGGCATATACCTTGGTTATGGGCACATCCCCAGTGGGGGGTGGGCAAGAGGCATCTGACTCTTAGGCAGTTAGGCAGTTTCTAACTCTCTATCCCTCTCTCTTCCTCTCTGGGGAAAAAAAAAAAAAAAAAAATATATATATATATATATATATATATATATATATATATACATACACACACACACACACACACACACACCGTATATTAAAAAAATGTCATTAAAATATATTTTGCTCAAAATGACACTTAAAATAATAAAAAGATTATATGAAGCCTTGAAATCTCCATAAATGCCCTCATAAAAACAGAGTACTTATGCAGAAAAACTAAAGCACTGTGGAAATTTATAACAAAACTAGGTGTTACCTAGTTATCTCTAAGAACCCCAAATTTTAAGTGGTTGGGGACAAACCAGTGATATCTATACAACTTATTTCAGCTTCGGTAGAAGCAGAAGTAGAAGGAAACAACAGGTAGCTAATGGATCTAAAAGCAGATGAACAACAAAAGAGCCAACAGGTATTCACTAGAAAGCACAGGGAGCCAATTTGAGGACTATATTTGAAAATGGAAGATGTTTTGGTGGTTAGAAAAGGTGAATGAAAGAAGTCTATGTATGGGCTAAGGAGATGGAAGTCTCTATAAACTCTTGAAACTGAAGAGCTAGGACAGGGCTCTAAACTGAGAAGAAAGTATGAACAGAATCAAAATTATACAAGACAAGTACAACTGAGGCAAAAAGAACAAAGGAGAAGGTAACAAAGCTAGGAAATCTTAGAAATAAATCACCATGTTTGTAAATACTACCTGAAAACGATAGAAAAGGAAGCTCTTTAAATTTGAAAATACTATCCTTAACCATGCCTTCTAAAAGTTCAAAAAAACTAATTTCACACAAAACTAAGCAAATGGCCTGGCCAGTGTGTCTCAGTGGTTGAACATCAACCCATGAACCAGGAGGTCAACAGTGTGATTCCCAGTAAAAGCACATGTTAAAGTTGTGGGCTCAATCCCCAGTGGGGGATGAAGGGGGGGGGAGAGGAAGGACATGCAAGAGGCAGCCAATCAATGATTCTCTTCCTCTCCTTTCCTCTCTCTAAAATCAATTAAAAAATATTTTTAAAAATAAACAAATGAAGTCAAATGCCATATATATAGAAAGTAGTTGAGAAGAAAATAATGAACAGAATAATACTCCTACAAAAAAAAGTAGGCCAGAAAAACATTTTAAAAACTAGCTTTAAGTCCAAAGGACATAAGAGTCAACCTGAAAGAGCTTCCAATGGCCACAGGTAGAAAATCTGGGGTAACAAAATTAATTATGATAGTATTAGATTATAACTGAAAAATAAAACAAACATCCATGAGTCATACAGTTGTGAATAACAACTGAATAAATAACTATTGAGGCCTGATTTATAGGCTGTAGGACACTTTATATCCTATGCTAGGTAATGAATGTAGAAGGAATGAGAAAAATAGAAACACTACAGATAATAACTGCTACCGGAAAGATTCATGTATAAATGATAAAATTAGAGGGTGAAACTTTAAAGAGAAACATGACATATCAAAGTACCTCCTCAAAATATTTATTTGTTACTGGGGTGGTTTTACTCTATGTTCACAAATTCTTTGACACTTACCATGTAAAAACTCAGACTACTCTGCTGGAGAGACAATGTACAAGACCAGGATGTCTCTGGAAAGTCATGGAAAGCAAGAGGAGCCCAGCCAGCTAAGTCCAGCCTTCCAGCCATTCCTACCAGAGTGTCAAGCATGTAAATAAAGCCATCTCTGAACCTCCAGACCAGCCCATCCACCAAATGGATGCCTCATGGAGCAGAATTATCTTCCACGGAGCCCTGCTTGAATTCGTGACCTACAAAGTTATGAGACACAATGAAATTGTTTTTGTTTTAAGTCACTATGTTTTGAGGTAATTTGTTTCATGGTAGTAAATCATGAGAACAGACAATCAGATAGTATGTACATCCTGATGAAAAAAACAGGATCCAATGAAAATTATTTCAAATCATTCTGTGTCTCATCAAGCTTTTGGATCCAGCTGGCAATTTTGCAGAAAATACAGATGAGAGTAGAACTGCATCATACTGCAATCAGCAAAATCTAGACTATAGGGAAACTCAGCAAGTCAAATAACCCAGATTCCTCAACAGATAAGTAATCCACACAGAGAAAAAGAACTTGCAAATTAAAAGACACTCAGAAGGTATTTTAAAAACAAATAGTAAGACCAAACTAATGTGGAAGAATACCCACTTGGGTGATTAAACCATAAAGATAAATAAAGAAGGGATTACCATGAAAGGTCAGTGGTTACTTTTAGGGAGAGGAAGCAGTTACTTCAAATAGGCCACAAGGAAGACTTCTAAAGTGGCCAGTGAAAAAGTTCAGTGATTGTGCAGTGCTATGTTGTGCTTTATTATGAATGGCAGAAACTAGCAAAAAATACCAACTGATCATGCTGGGTTATATATATTTCTGACCTAAACATTTCTATCTCCTTAAAAGGAAAGGTCTCAAAACTGAAGGACAGAGAATACAGAAACCCTCCTAGCTGAGACACTTCTGATCCTCCAATTGGCTTAGAAATCAACGCTTCCCAGTGATACCAACAATAAGCAAGGCTTAACAACAAGACTGCACACACAACCCACAAAGGGCTTCACCAAGACTGTCCACCTCAGGTAATTAGGAGGCTGACTCACTGAACCATAGAGGACACCTTAGCACACAAAGCCACCTTACCAACTCAGGGAAGCTGTGAAAATGCCGAGACAAGGAAATAGATCACAAACAAAATAAATGGAGGAAAAGAAGAGACTGGATATAGAGTTCAAGACCATGTTATAAGGTTTTTCAAGAATTTCCTAGAAAAGGTCAATAAGACCTATGAGGAAATGAAAAGGGATCAACAAGAACTAATAAGGGATCAACAAGAACTAATAAGGGATCAACAAGAAATAAAGAATACATTGTCTGAAATAAAAAAATATTATACAGAGTCCTAAAAACAGAATGGAAGATTGCAAGAATCAAGTCAAAGATTTGGAACATAAAGAGCCAGAAGACACTCCTCCACAGAAGCAAGAAGACAAGAGAATCCAGAAAATTGAAGATAATGTAAGAAACCTCTGGGACAACTTCAAGCAAACCAACATCAGAATTATGGGGGTCCCAAAAGATGAGAGAGAGCAAGATATCAAAAACATACTGAATGAAATAGTGACAGAAAACTTCCCCCACCTGGTGAAAGAATTAGACTTACAAGTCCAGGAAGCGCACAGAACTCCAAACAAAAGGAATCCAAAGAAGACCACACCAAGACACATCAT